GCTTTATTCATAATAGCCAAAAATTAGAAACAACTCAATTGTCTGACTGATGAATGGATAAACAAAAGGTGGTCCATCCATACAATGGAATATTATTCAGCCTTAAACAGGAACGAAGTTCTGTTACATTGAAATCTTTGTGCTAAGTGAAAGCCAGCTGGGATTTGGATGGTAATTATGCTGAATCTGTAGATCAGTTTGGAAGTGTTGCTGTCTTAATAGTATTAAGTCTTCTGATCCTTCAACATGGGATGCCTTTTTATTTCTTTAGATCTTTTGTAATTTCTTTCAGAAATCTTTTGTAGTTTTCAGTGTATAAGCTTGCACTTTTTTGTTAAAATTTATTACTAAGTATTTTATTTTTGAGGCTGTTGTAAATGCACTGTTTTCTTGATTTCGTTCTCAGATTGTCCATTGCAAGTGTATAGAAATACAGTTGATTTGTGTATATTGATCTTGTGTCCTGCAACCTGGCTGGACTTGTTCATTAGTTGTAATAGTTTTTAGTGGATTCGTTAGGACTTTCTAGGTACAAGATCTTGTCATCTGTGAGTAGAGATAGTTTCACTTCTTCCTTTCCGATCTAGATGCCTTTTCTTTCATTTTCTTGCCTAATTGCCCTGGCTAGAACCTCCAGTGCAATGTTGAATAGAAATGGCAAGAGTGGGTATCTTTGTCTTGTTCCTGATCTTGGGGGGAAAGCTTCAAGTCTTTCATCATTGAGTGTGATGTTTGTTGTGGGTTTTTCATAGATGCCTTTATCGGGTTGAGGAAGTTCCCTCCTGTTTCTAGTTTGTCACTTTTTTTTTTTTTTTTTTGGGATGAGGAAGATTAGCCCTGAGCTAACATCTGTTGCCAATTCTCCTCTTTTTGCTGAGTAAGATTGGCCCTGGACTAACATCCGTGCCCATCTTCCTTTACTTTATGTGGGACTCCTGCCACAGCATGGCTTGATAAGTTGTGTGTAGGTCCGTGTCCGGGATCCAAACCTGTGAACCTTGGGCCGCCGAAGCGGAGCGCTCAAACTTCACCACTATGCCGCCGGGCTGGTCCCATTGTCACATATTTTTATAATGAAGGAGCGTTAAATTTTTGTTAGATGCTTTTTCTGCATCTATTGAGATGATTGTGTGGTTTTTGTCCTTTATTCTAATGATATGGTGTAATACATTGATTGATTTTATATGTTGAGCTGTCTTTGCATTCCTGGGATAAATCCCACTTGGTCATGGTGCATACTCCGTTTTATGTGTTGCTGTATTCAGTTTGCTTATCTTCTGTCCAAGAGGTAAGCGTATTTTGTGGAGTGTTTGCTGTAAAACACTAGCAGTCTGCACTTTCGGCTTTGAAGAGAGTGTGGGTGTCTTCTGACCTCGGGAACACTTCTTCAGGTCCCTCCTTCCCCACTGGCACCTCAGAGACTGACTTGCAGGTCCGTGGTGGCCAGAGTGGGCCACAGTCCAGGATGCTGATCAGTTTCCTTGAACTACTTTGAAGGTGGAGACAACAAGCCAGCCCAAGACCCTTCTCCTTTACCCTGACCCTGTGGCCTGCTGTTGAGTGGGTCAGTGGCATGGAGGAGGCAGTGTTGGCCAGTGGTGAGTTCTGGGCCTAGTTTTCCAATAGTTGGAGAAGTTTGACCTTTGGCTAATCTCTGAACTTCCAGGGGGAGGTAACTAGTTTATCTCCGTGGTTTTCTAATGCTCTCTCTGGGGCTCTTATTCTGGTGTCACAGATAGAAGTTGGCCATCCAGGGCCGGCCCTGTGGCTTGGTGGTTAAGTGCGCGCGCTGCGATGCTGGTGGCCCGGGTTCGGATCCCGGGTGCGCATCGAGGCACCGCTTCTCCGTTCATCCTGAGGCCAAGTCCCACATACAGCAACTAGAAGGATGTGCAGCTACGACATACAACTATCCACTGGGGCTTTGGGGGGAAAAAATAAAATAAATTAAATCTTTAAAAAAAAAAAAAAAAAAAAAAGAAGTTGGCCATCCATGCAGCTGGGGAGGAGAACATTACTTATTTTCACTGACCATGCAGTAAAATTGAACATTTCCTTCAGTTATGAAGATAGGCAACAAATGTCTGTGTCTTCAGGAGAAATCACAAATGTCTTCGTGTCCTGTTACAATTGTCACAGATTCTTGATTATTGTTTATGCTTGCCACTACTTCAGAATTACTGTATTGTTAGACCAGCTGCCAGGGCTTGTTATTTAGTGCATTAATAAAGAAAATATGGGGCCAGCCCCGTGGCTTAGCGGTTAAGTGCGCGCGCTCCGCTGCTGGAGGCCCAGGTTCGGATCCCGGGCGCGCACCGACGCACCGCTTCTCCGGCCATGCTGAGGCCGCGCCCCACATACAGCAACTAGAAGGATGTGCAGCTATGACACACAACTGTCTACTGGGGCTTTGGGGGAAAAAAAAAAAATAAAAAAAATTAAAAAAAAAAAAAAAAAAGGAAAACGTTATATTGTTACATCACATATTTATTACTTTAGTATTTTGATACTTTCATCATTTTTACTCCTGTATATTTTAGTTTATGCCTTTAGAACATCATTCTGAGGTCAGTCATATTCTTTTCCACACTCCAGAGGAGTCATTCATCTCTGGACTAACAGAGCTTCTTTCCAATGTGGTGACTTCACACATCCCCAGGGACTTGGAGTCTCACCTTTAAGAAGGTGGGCACAGGCTCCTGGGGAAGAAGAAGCAGCAGCGGTTATGGGAGACAAGCAGACCCAGGCCCAGAAAGCTTAAAACAACAACAACAACAACAACACAGTCCTAATGACATCATGATTCACTGTTTAAAGCCCAGCTATGTAGTGGCGGGTATATATCCTTTAGACTTTGTTTTGTGTGTAACGTAGCTGTTTAAAAGCACAAACACCTCTACGTACTGTTTGATAGCCTGAACTATTTAATTATGCATAGTATACGTCTTTCCATATAAAAATATTTTTATAGAACTTTTAATAATAGCATTTAAAAAAAATAGAAATCACAGAAGCGGGGTGTGATGACCGTGAAGAGTGGAGACACTGAACAGGCAGTGAAGTATCAAGTGTAGATCCCAGCCCACTGGTGGATCCACCTTGTCGTCCTGCTGTTAGTGCTGGGTCTGTCCTTAAGGATCATGTGCCAGAAATGGAATTGCTGGGTCAGAGGGCAAGCCTGTTCTGTATGGCTTTTGACGTTTGTAGGAAAATTGGCCCCCCAAGGGTACACCATTTCGTGCTTCCACTGGTAGCAGTGTGAGTGTTTCCTCAAATCCTTGCCAACACTGTGTATTTTCCTTCTTTTTTATCTTTGCTGATTTGATAGGCTATCATGTTTTCATTTGCATTTCTTTGATTCACTGCAGGGTTGAATAGTTTCATTTGATTTTGGCTCTTGGTTTATTTTTTTTCTTCTCAAGTATCACCTCTGTGTTCTTGGCAGTATCAGTCAGGTCCTGGCAAGATGCAAATGTGGCCACAGTTGTTACAGGAAAATTACTTACTGAGGGGACCAGTTAGGGAGAGCAGGGCAGAGGAAGCAACAGGGCTGGATCCCTGCAATGGGACTGTGAGCCCTTCAGTCCTCAGGAGGCAGGTGGGAGGGACTGGGGGGGGGTCACTGTAGGGGGAGAGGGTGCGGCATTTGGGGGCACAGGGGGAATAACTCTCATTTCTCTCCTGCTCTCTTGCCTCCCCCTGGGGGCTCCTCTTGGCTCCAGGGCTGCAGTACACAGGATCCCGCCTTGGAGTACAGAGGAGGACAGAAACCATGTCTGGGGAAAAATGGAAAGAGGCAGCACTTGACCCTGTCTGTGTTTTCTTCCTGGGCATCTGCCCTTGGAGGAAGTCTCCTCCATGGGGAGCCCCTCTGGCTGTAGGGTAGTCCGGGAGTGGCAGGTGAGGATGCAGTGGCCACCATGTCCAGTGGGCCTGTCTCAGTGCAGACCAGTGCAGGCTGAACTGATGTGGCTGTGGGCCTTGGGTTCCTTTTGCATTTTATTTTATTTATTTTTTATTTTTTATTTTTTTGGTGAGAGAGATTAGCCCTGAGCTAACGTCTGTTGCCAGTCATCTTCTTTTTTTCTTGAGGAATACTGGCCCTGAGCTAACATCTGTGCCAATCTTCATCTATTTTGTCAGGTGGTTTGCTGCCACAGCATGGCTTGATAAGAGGTATAGGTCTGCGCCCAGGATCTGACCCCGTGAACTCAGGCTGCTGAAGCAGAGCGCGCTGAACTTAACCACTATGCCACCGGGCTGGCCCCTCCTTTTGCATTTTAATTCATGTATTGTGTTATTTATAGCTGTATACTCTACAGAATTTTGTAGACAGACAAAACATGGGTCTATTGTGTACTGCAGGTAGCTGTAACCCTGATGTCAGGTTATTTCTGAGTCAGGCCCAAGCCAAGGTGCCCAGTGCAGAGCCTTTAGTCAATGCTGGAAGAGAAACGTGCTTCCCCGACACTGGAGCGTGCATGTCACAGGGTGGTTGATTTTGAGAAGGAAAGACACAGGAAGGACTTGCAACCTTCCTCCCTTCCCCAGCTCCCCCTCCTCCAGAATGTTCCAGAACCAAGCTGCCTGCTCCTACTGTGGTTAGGGCCCTGTCTTTGGAGGGTAGGTGCTGGTGCCTGTGGAGAGCACTGTCCCAGTGAGGCTGCACGGAGGCCGCCTGTGGTTCTCAGCTGAGCCCCCAGAGACATTTGGGGCTGGAGAGTTCTCGGCTGTGGGGCTGTCTGGTGCCCTGCAGGGTGGTCATCTGAATCCCTGGCTTCTACCCACTAGATGATAGTAGCCCTTTCCTGCTTCTGTTGTGGCAGCTAGAAATGTCTCCAAGCATTGCCAGATGTCCCCTGGGGGGGCCCGGTTGTCCCCAGCTGAGAACCCTGCCTAGAGGAATGCTGACACCTGTCAGTGAGCCCAATGGGCAGGACCCTTTGTGGGGCCTGTCCCTGTTTTTAGTGTTGCTTGATTTCAGGTGATTGGTCCTGAAGGGCCAGAGGCCTCTATGTGGTAGGTGTATTGGTGTAATGTTTTACCTGGTACACTTTTCCGGTTAGTTCAGGAAAATTGTCCTTATGGACTAATAATTTCTAGCGCAGATTATTAAAGACATTGAGGAAAAGGACAGCTTGATCTGCAGAAGGGTCAGGTGAGGTAAAAGGCACCTACTTGTCTGGAGCAAAATGATGTTAAACCATAGTGCTATGTCTCCTGTCTGCTGGGGGTTGCCAGGGTAGGAGATGGGGCCATGCTGAGATGTGTTGGTGGGAAAGGCGGTCTCCTCGGCTAGCCTCTCTGAGCGGGATCAGAGCCTTGCCGCCGGCTCTTCAGAGCAGATCACAGAGTGCTGGTTACACAGTGCCAGCGTGGAGGGTCATGGGAGGCCGGCTGCTGCAACTGATGTGGGGTATCACCAGGGCATTGTTGGAGGTGATGCAGCATTTCATACACTCTGTAGAGAAGTGATTTGCTCTCAGACAGTGGGACTCGCACACAAGAATCCCCAATCCTGTGTGCTCTGGTCCTGAGGAAAGGCCAAGAGCAGCTGTGCCATCCACGATGCCAGAGGCCACCCCATGGGGGACACCTCAGGAGTGGGGTTGGGGGGCAGGCTGGCTTGTGCCCACCATGCTCCTCAGTCAGGGCTGCATGGCCACTGATGAGCCCCTGAGATCTTTGGGGGCCACTGGGGTGACACGGGTGTTGGTGCCTCCCCTCTCCAGTGATGGGTGGAGCCAGAGGGTCCTGCTGCCGCCCGACCCTACAAGTCTGCAGTTGAACTTGGTGAGCCTTGCATCGCACAGTCCAATACTAGAGGTGGCAGGATGTTGCAGAGGGTCCCTGGCCAGGACGCCTGAGTTTTATTCTCTTTATAGCCACTAACCTCCCTGAGGTTACGAGGACAGGGTATCTTTGTTCTGCACGCAGCCTGCAGGGGATCCAGTCCTTTCCTGCATTCTACGCATGTTCACTGCATGCTTGCTGCGTGTCCAGGGCTGTTTTAGGCACCACAAGTCCAGCAGTGAACCAAATGGACAAGACCCCTGTCCTTGAGATGCTCCCAGCTGGCAGAATGCTGGGTGAGTGTGACTCTAGTGTGTCGTTGTGAGGTGCCAGGAGGACATGAGGCAGAGGGGGTCGGGAGGGGCTGCCCTGGCGGTCAGGGCAGGTGTCACTGAGCAGGTGACCTTTGAGCCAGCCCTCCGAGGAGAGGGCCTAAGAAGGGGGTGGGATGGGAGGGCCCTGGACAAGGCAGGCTCTTGGGAGTGTGCAGTCCGATTCTAGATGACCAGTGCTGTGCTGACAAAGAGCTCTAGTTTATGCCCACGTAAACCATGATGTCCTGATAGGTGAACGCCGACTGTGCAGCGTCCACAATTGTGAATGTTTTGTGTCTCTGCATGACCTTTTTCCCTTTTCCCTCTTCTCATCAGCCAGGGCCAACTCGTTTGTAGGAACAGCCCAGTATGTTTCTCCAGAGCTGCTCACAGAGAAATCGGCCTGTAAAAGGTAACCTGCTTTCATCTGATCCCTAATTCTCTTGTCTCAAAAGTAGCAAGTCCATTTTTCATGTGACATTACTAGGTAAGAGCGTGCCTTTCATGCCCTTTATACAGCTCAGCCTGCTGGGGAAGAAGTTAGCGTTTGCCTTCTGACAGGCGTCTTTCCTCTGATAATCTGTGTGCTCTTATTGTTACACTTTTACTTCCTAGGGTGGTTCTTGCTTTACGCTTTGAGATGTGATCTTGTTCCTTTAGGAACAGCAAGCTATTCAGTGGGCGAAGTGTGGCCGACAGGTCTGTATTATTTCCTCGAGGCTTCCTGCTGTGTCCCAGAGCCCCAGGATCCTCGATGCTGCCTCAGTGGGCAGCCTGGCAGTGGCGCAGCTGTAGGTCAGCTGTTTAGGTAATAGGCTCTGCAGAGTGTGGGAAAGAGGCCTGGAAGGCAGTGTGTGGGAGGGGATGGAGCTGGTTTCCCAGCAGGTGTCCAGCCAGCATGAGCCAGCCCTAACCAGTTCTCAGATCTGAGACAGGCCTGGAGTAGCTGCAGGGTTGAAAGCCTTGATGTCCCTCACTTGTGAAAATTAGAATTTCAGGGGCAGATGCAGAGAACACAGGGGCTGGGGTTCTGCTTGCAGGAACAGAGGTCTGGAGAGTGGAGAAAGGTCAGCGGCAGGGCAGCTGGGCAATGGAGAAAAGAAAGGTGGGGATGCAATGGCAGGAATGGGGAGGAGTCTGGAGAGCTGTCTTGGGTGAGTATGAGGCAGATGGAGGACTGAGAGGTGGCAGTAGAGTCTGGGGTTTCAGAGTTTGGGGAGCAGTTCTAGATGGTGACAAGTTCTGTGGTCAAAGCTTTTCCTTGGATTCTTCCTGCTCTGGGCCAGTCAGACGCTCGGCCCACTGGCACCTTGCCTTGAGTTGACAGAGGGCCACATGGTCAGTGTCCTGCACTGGCAGGCTGCAAGGAGCCACCTTCCAAGAGTGATAGAGGGACCGTGCCAAAGGTGACGGAGGAGTGAATGGTTTTGGGGACGGCAGCTCTGTGTTTCTGAGCATGACAGCTTTTAAAAATCTCTTTAGGGGGTGGAGCCGGGGCACGAACATGATGATGCATGGCAGGATGCTCTGAAAAATTAAACTTGGGCATCTTCACACTCTTAGGGCTTTTTTTTTGTGAGGTAGATTAGTCCTGAGCTAACATCTGTTAGCAATCCTCCTCTTCTTGCTGAGGAAGATTGGCCCTGGGCTAGCATCCATGCCCATCTTCCTCTACTTTATATGGGATGCCGCCACAGCATGGCTTGACAAGCGGTGCGTCAGTCCGCGAACCCCGGGCTACCAAAGCGGAGCGTGTGAACTTAACCACTACGCCACCAGGCCAGTCCCTGTTTTTGTTTTTTTAACCTTATTCAGTCAACAGATTTTGAGCTCTTGGCGTGGGACAGACACTATTGTAGGTCAGGGCTTCCCAGCTGGGGTGATTCTGACCCCCAGGGGACGTTGGCTGTGTCTGGACACAGTTTTGGTGTCACAACTTGGCAGGAGTGGGGAGGGAGTGCTATGGGCATCCAGTGGGTGGAGGCCGGGGGTACTGCTCAGCATCCTGCGATGCAGAGAGGGCCCCACAGCAAGAATGACCAGTCCCAGCTGTCCCCAGTGCTGAGGCTGAGAAACCCTACTTGGGGTGGTGTGTGCTGTTGGCCAGATTCTCAAAGTGTACGTTGCTGCTGCCTGAGAACTAGCTCTTCCTTGCCTTGGGGTTTGCGCGTAGGATGAGGCAGCTCCTCGGCACTGATGGCGGAGGGTCTCCAGGCTCTCCTGAGTGAGATAAGGAAGACTCAGAGTGGCCATTTTCTGTGTGGAAACGTGAGGAGAATGTCTACCCAGATTCACTTGTCCATGCCTTTAAAACTCTCTAGAAGGATATACAAGAAATGGGTAATAGTGCTTATCAGAACAGGATTGTGAGGGAGACATCAGTGTGTATCTTTTTATGCTTTTAAATTTTTAATCATTTTTTTAATTCTAAAAGTAATACCTATTCATTGTAAAGAATTCTTAGAAAATATGGAGAAAGAAAGAACAAAAACCACTCATAGTCTCCAACCCACTGTAGTTGCAGGTAGATTTGGTCTGTCTTTCCAGTTATCTTTTACTGTGTGTTTCTATGTGTTTACATAATTTCTATACAACTGGAGTCATACTGAATAACCGATTTTGAATCCTGCTTCTTGCAATTATATAATGAACATTTCCCCACGTCACTGAAATTATTTGCTGACCTCTTTAACATCTGTGTGCTTTTCCAGCATATGAATTTATTGTAGTTCATTGAACTCTTCATTTATTGTTGGACATTGCTGTGGTTTTCATTTATTTGACACAATCTGACGTGCCTGCCGTGTGCCATGTGTCGTGTGCTATGGGGAGGTAGGGCATTCCTGCCCCTCTGGTGGGAAGATGGGGTGTCTGCCAGGTGGCACTGGGGCTGCCCCAAGTTCTCTGTTTGGATTTCAAGAAGTAGAGTGACTTAGTCTAACTGCACATCTTAAAAATCTTTGGTACATCCTGCTTTCCAGAAATGTTACACTGGCTTCCCCGTTTAGTTTTATTGTATTATTGAAATGATAAGATGCCTGCTGATGATAAAATGTTCAGATAACTCACAGAAGTAAAAAGTTAGCTGAAAGCCAGTTCTGGCAGTCCCAGTCCCTGGAGATGACCCGTGAAAGCAGCAGAGGCAGCTCCACCCACAGCCCTGCCCCTCCTCTCTGGCGCTTTTACGCTGAAAGGCCAATGCTTTTTTTTTTTTTTTTTTTTTGTGAGGAAGATCAGCCCTGAGCTAACATCCTTGCCAGTCCTCCTCTTTTTGCTGAGGAAGACCGGCCCTGAGCTAACGTGTATTGCCAATCCTCCTCCTTTTTTTTACCCCCCATTTTCTCCCCAAGGCCCCAGTAGATAGTTGTATGTCATTATTGTACATCCTTCTAGTTGCTGTATGTGGGACACCACCTCAGCGTGGCCGGACAAGCGGTGCGTCGGCGTGTGCCCGGGATCCGAACCCGGGCCGCCGGTAGAGCGCGCACTTAACTCATAAGCCACGGGGCTGGCCCCAGGCCGATGCTTTTTTGTCAGCATCTTTGTTGTGTCTTTCTTCTCATTTTAACTAGACCAAACAGTGGAGAAAACCAAGTGTAAAAACTACTTATTGAGTAGAATGGACATTCATTTTTTAAATGCCCTTCACTCCATCTCTATGTTGTGACTCAGATTGCTGATCTCTTGCATTTTTAACCTCCATCAAGTGCCTCTTCTGTGCCGGGGCTGCTGTGCCAGTGACAGGGTGGCCAGGACAGAGCTGTCACCCAAAGCCCCCGGCACTGCAGCATGCCCTACAATTTCATCTTCCAGAGTGCCAGGCTGGGGCCTCTTCCAGAAACTGACTGTATGTAGCAACTCATGAGCCCTACATACATTTAGGGCGTGAGAGGGGCAGCTGGCAGTGTGGGGCGAGGTTGCATCTTAGTGCTTTCATAGGGCTGAGCTGGGAATAGAATGCAAATCTTCCAGGGGAAATAAAATATGCAAAGTGGATCTCAGCCTGAGCTCTGAGATGGCACTGAGGAAAGAGAATGAAGGAGAGCAGGGCGGGGTTGGGGGTGACATCAAGGGCGAGGAGAGCAGCCCCTCCAGGGTCCATGCCAGCTGGTTCTAGAAACAACTTAGGGCACTTCAGAACTGCAGTGTGTTTCTTTTAAACTATAATCAAAATGTTTATAAAGGAGGGGTAGGGCTTTGCACAGCGAGTCTGACAAGGGAAGGAGAAAGCTTGCTTTGTGCACTTCCTATGGATTGTCTGATTTGGCTCCTTGGCATACGTGTGCTTGTGTCTGTGTACTGGGAGCAAACACTGAGTGAGTTATGAGAGAATCTGAGTTTATTCTTAGCATTATCAATCTGCCAGTGACATGGACAAGCCCTTTCAGGCCCCCCAACCACCCCTCACCCCCACCCCCGGCACTGGAAGAAGGTGCTTTTCTGTTGTAGTCAGGAGTGACTTCTGCTCCCTCTTCAGGACCAGATTGGGCCTGTGAGGAAGTTGGTAGCCCCTGATGGAGGTGCCAGAGCTGTGAGGGTGGCTGCATGGCCTGGTCCAGTGGTGTCTGCTGTGTGTGGCATCCTCTGCGCCCAGGTCCCCAGGGAGGCCCCTCGAGAATGGCCTGGAGCAGGTTCCCACCCTCACACTGACGTGGTTCTAAAGGAGAGAAGTAGATTGGAGGCTGAAATAGGGTGATGTGAACAGACGGGATAGGAATGAAATGTGCTTGTCACTGAAATTTTACAAATGTCATTCTTCTTTGTTTTTTCCCTCCCTTAAAGTTCAGACCTTTGGGCTCTCGGATGCATAATATACCAGCTTGTGGCAGGACTGCCACCATTCCGAGCCGGGTAAGAGACTGCTCTCCCCCCCCCCCCCACAAGCCCATCACAGCAGCCTGACAAGGGAAGTGGGAGGGGGCAGTCCCAGGGTCTGGGCGAAGGTGGAGAGGAACTTTCATGATGATTCTTGAGTGAACACAGCAGCTCTTTGCGGGGAGAGGGAGACCACCGTCCCAGGAAAGGTACAGCTCTGCACTGGGGAGGTTTGTGTGACCTTGCCTGGAATGATGGTTTTTCTTATTTTACAGAAACGAGTATCTCATATTTCAGAAGATCATTAAGTTGGAATATGACTTTCCTGAGAAATTCTTCCCTAAGGCAAGAGACCTTGTGGAAAAACTTTTGGTAAATATTTTGAATTTTCTTCTGGTAAGGTGATCTGATAGCCACACCCTGAGTCCCTCTGGACCTGTGGTCAGAGGGGCTTTCCTGGAGGCACTTGTGTTTAATCAGAGGGTGTTTGAGGGGTGATAGTGGTGGTAGATAGGTTCGTATCTTCTATTTCATTCATTATAAGGCCTTTTCAATTTCCAAATGACTGATTCTTGACCTTAAAAAGACAGGAAATTACTGTATCATTTTGCATTTGCTCATCAACATACATAGCATTTTAAGTTACTTGATGGAGCAACTGGGTGTGTTACAATGGCAGATGGCTGTAAATCCTACTTAGTGACATCTGTGAATATCACCTTTAGAGTCAGCTACGTGAAGGTTTTAAAGATCAACCCAGGTAATATGACAAAGGTAAACAGATTTACCAGGACACGTGTGTTCGTTTATGTTCTAGAAACTGCAGCATCCCTGCCCCTGAGGTGCCTTGGCTCTAGACCTTCACTTAACTGATCTCGGGGGAGCAGGGTCGGTCCTGCCTCCGTGGGGGGTTGTGCTTGATCCTCTGGGGGTGGGGTGAGTGTGCAGCCGAATTCTGGAGGAGACCCTTTGAGATCAAGCACTGGAGGGAGACGGGGCACTTTATTCCCATCTGTGATAGCTTACCGTCCAGACGAGTTCTTCCTTCTCTTTGTTCTTAATGTCAGTAGTTCATTTTTGTTTGTTTGTTTTAGGATCTTTAACTGTATATTTTAAAAGAATACTTGCTGCTGTTCATTAAATTTTGAGGTTGTGATTCATTTTCACTTGTGAGAGGGGAAGGGACAGAGATGAGAGAAGTGAAGGAGCCCCTGAGGGTGACTCTGTGGTCCCTGGTCCGCTGTGGGCTCGGGTGGATGGGCCATGGTGCCCTTCCTATTTCCAGGAGATGGTGAAAATTGAAAAGAACTACTCAAAAAGAATGTTTTTTGTCAGAATTACTTTTTAACCCTAACACTGACTTGTCTCGACTTTTGTTTAAGGTTTTAGATGCCACAAAGCGATTAGGCTGTGAAGAAATGGAAGGATACGGCCCTCTGAAAGCCCATCCATTCTTTGAGTCCATCACGTGGGAGAATCTGCACCATCAGACGCCTCCAAAGCTCACAGCTTACTTACCAGCCATGTCAGAAGATGACGAAGACTGCTATGGAAACGTAAGCTGGCTCACGTGTGTCGGGAACAGCCCAGGCAGAGATGAGTTCTGCTTGTCATGCTGTGTGCAATTGGTTCCTCTGTGCACAGGGAGTTTGTACCCACAAGCCACAGGACCCCGATTCATAGGATGGGTGGCTAAAGGGGAAGCCAGCATAGATCTGTTGGTAGTTGGACACTTTGTGGTGGCCCCAAGTCTGAGTCTCTCACCTAGACGGGCCAGTAAGGCTTCCATCTATACGTCTGCCCCAAGTGCAGATCACCAGGCTCTGGAGTGGGCAAGTCCCTTTTTCTCATTTCCTCTAGTTAATTTTCACCCAAATGGGTGGAACTAGATCTAGATGTTGGGTGGGAGGAGTCTAGAGCCAGTGGGAACAACACCCTCCACCATCCTCCTGGGCCCCTGGACACTGAGTCTCCTGGTGGGCTTGTCTTCTGCTTTTGGCTGGCGCCTTTATAATTGTGTGTTGTGTCTAAAGACATTCTGGAATGTTTCTGATCTTTCCGAGAGAAGCCCAGGGTGCTGCTGCTTTGAATGTTATGGAGATGTGGCATTGAGGGTGGACACTGGTCACTGTCGGCTTTTAGTGCCTGAGGGAAGTAGAGACTATGGCACAGGCCTGAGAGGTGTGGCACCCTGGGGTTTCTGGGAAGCTGCAGTCACTGGCTTGACTTCAGACGTAGGGTCTTAAGTGTCCTTTGTTCTTGAAGCTTTCCTTTTGGAAGATGTGAAAGATATGGAAGGGAACAGAGGAGTACAGTGAGCTGCAGGTACCCATCAGCCACCTTCAGTTATCAACTGCTGGGCAGTCTGTTGCTCCCTCATCACCTCCACCATGACTCCCGTATCTAAACACGATTTCCAGTGTCTTTAGTATCACAGATAGTCCATTCTTCTGGTTTGATTTCTGTCATTGTGGCTTATTCTAGCCAATTATCATATATAGAGTCCCACTTTAGTTGACTGGGGAATTCTAGATTTTATCTAAAAGTCACCTAAAGCTAAGTTAAATCACTACTGGTATCACCTCTTTGAGACCAGGAGCTCCCTGTGTCTCCTGCCTGCTGTGGTAAGCGACACACCCCCTTTTTTGTCCTGAAATATCCTTTGTGCACAGACTTGAATGGAGCCAGATGTAGAGAGCTGTCTTGCTCTTCTGACCTGCTTCCCTCCACGGTGGCCATGGCCGTCCCCAGCCTCCATGCATGCAGACTGAGAGCACTCAGCCCCAGGACTCCCTCCGCCGGCCCTCAGTGCCATCCTCAGCCCTGATGTCATTCCTGAGTCATGGCCAGCAGGACCGGGTCGGGGCTCCAGTGTCTTTGGTAGGGGTGTCCCAGGGAAGCAGCTCGCTCTGCCCGCCAAGCTCTGAAGGAGCCTCGTAGGCCCTGGTTGTCTGGGCTCTCAGTGCCCGGGGAGCTCGGCTTCATGTGGCGTGTGTGTGTGTGCGCACACTGGAGTGTCTTTTGCAGGCTCTCTGTCTGCTGTTTCATCGCATTTGCCATGTTGAGACCTCTGGCTTCTTGGTACTTACGTGTTGCTGATTTAAAACTGGCTTCATGTGTTAACAGCTTACTTTTTGTTAGATGGTTCATCCTCAGCTTGAAAAGCTGTGTGGTTTGAAAGCCTTGGAAAGTACTCAGGCAGAGCTCCCTACACCAGATTCGCATTTGGACAGTTAGGGAGCCTTCAAAAAGACTTGGACCTGGAAAGATGTCAGATACAGAGGAAACCTGCTCCAGGAGGCGCTCCCTTCCTGCAGGTGTTGACAGCGCATCATGGAGCGGGGCAGTCTCTCCAGAGAGGCTCCTGGAGAGTCCAGTGTCTTTTTCAGCAGGAAGGGGGCTTCCCCCTGAGGGCGAGGAGCTGCAGCGTGTCGTTATTCAGGGAATGACGAGAGCAGGTGCTTTGTTCTCTTCCGTGTTCCTGGTACCCCGCTGGTGGCTGATGGTAATGCTGGTGGTGGGACTCTGCGTGAGCTGCGCAGGTGTGGCTCCTTGGAGAAGGGTCAATGTTGGACCAGCATGATCAGGAGTTTCCTCGCAATGCGTTGGTGAGCACTTCCACTCCAACCCAGTGCCACCCCTCGTCACATGTCGTTTCTGGGCCTGGGTTTTGTGCTGCGGGTCTGAACTAGGTGCTGCTAAAGGGAGAAGAGTAGAGAGCAGAAATAGAGCATCTGGAGCTTTCCATGGGGAACAGTACAGTGGAGCCCCCAGGACAGGAATCACCCAGCAAATGATTCCGGTGGTTGTGGCAGTAAGCCAACAGCTAGTAAGCCCTACAGTTCTGCGATGGAAGCAGGGCAGCCACTGCATTGGAAGGACGCAGAGGACTGGTTCTGAATTTGGTATTGGCCAGTTGGGTTTAATCTTGGGCCAGTTCTGAGCCTCAGTTTCCCCATTTCAGAAATGGGTTGATGGTAACAGCCATCTCACTGGCTTCATAGGCTCGTTGAGGCACCCAGGGGCCTCATGGAAGCCTCTGTAAACAGACGCCACGTAGAGGTGGCCTTGGCCCCAAGAGTCCTCAGAGAGGAAGTGGAGAATGCACCACAACAAGGTCTTAGACAAAGGGGCCTCGGGAGTGTCCTGGGGTCACTCCCACCCAGGACCAGCAAGGTGGGGCTGAGGCTGCTGTCGGTGCTGTGTGAGCACGTGGGAGAGGGCTGCTCAGGGCAGCAAGTGAGGAGGGTGGGCACAGGGTCTGCAGGACCTCTGTAGGTGGTGGCCAGGACCTTACTGGAGGTACAGGGGACTTGGAAGGATGTGCTGCACTATCCTCCCGCCTGTTGCTGGTGGCACCTTTTCTTTTCCCTTGTTGTTAGCCATGGTGGGGCTCAGGTGTGGGGCCTGCAGCCGTGGGACCTGCAGCCGTGGGGCCTGCAGCCGTGGGGGACAGTCTGTCCAGGGTGACCACTCCCCCCAGCTCTTTGCTGGAGGCTCTCTGGCCTGGTCAGTGGCCCTAGGAGTGTTTGAGTGCACAGGGACCAAAGGAGAGGGCGCCGGAGCTTCAAGGGTCTTGCCACCGAGCCTCTGCGCCTGGGAGGTGGATCCTGTGGGTGGATCCTGTGGGGCCACGCGCATCCTGTCCCTCCTCTTCCCGGCAGGTGTCCCAACCCCTCCTCTAGTCGGGGCAACATAGGGGCTTGCAGAGGTCAGTAGGTTCCAGGTCCCAGGTCTCCCCTTCTGGAGATGATGACTGAACGTTAGCCCTTCTCTGGGGCAAACATCTTCTGATGTTCCCATCAGAAGGGGAATCCAGACCAGGCAGGATCCAGCCTTGCCCTGTTCAGTGGCCAGCTGTCCAGTGGAGGAGAGATCAGCTGCCCACACTTACCAGGAGAAACAGAGCTGGGCTGAGCTCTGTGGCTCATCTCCCAGGGGGGCCTTGGGGCCTTCAGGGTGTGAGCTTGCTGGGTGTAAGATAGGTCAGTGTGTGTCTGGATCTTTGGGCCACAGGGAGAATGAAGGCAGTGTTCTCACTTTTTCTTCTTCTCTGTGCAGTACGACAATCTCCTGAGCCAGTTTGGCTGCATGCAGGTGTCATCGTCATCCTCCTCCCACTCCCTGTCTGCCTCGGATGCAGCTCTGCCACAGAGGGCGGGCAGCAACATCGAGCAGTATATCCATGACCTGGACACTAATTCTTTTGAACTGGACTTACAGTTTTCTGAAGATGAGAAGAGGTTATTATTGGAGAAGCAGGCCAGTGGAAACCCTTGGTAAGAATTTGTAGACAGAAGCAGTGCTCCATTTAGAAACACAGAGCGGAACCCATGGGGACTTGAGACGTGGGAAACTGAGAGCCAGGCACCTCGTCTTTGTCACCGCTGCTTGTAAAGGCTTCGCGCCGCCTCACGCCTCCCACAACAGCCTTTAACGCTCTGCAAAGGGTCCAACTGGAAATGGGTGTTGGTAGGCGTTGGCCCGGGGCGGGGGGTAGTGGGTTTGGGACTGTCAGGGCTCTGGCCCTTGGGGCTCAGTGGGCCGGGCATGCCACATCCGTGTTCCAGCGTGGATTCACCATGATTTAAATAACCGCTGCCCTGAGAGGAGACGGTTGGGGTGTTCTGGAGTTTTTGGTGTCATAAATCACCCTTTGTACATAGCTTTTCCCACTTGTCTGAATATTTCTTTTAAGGTGAAATCTTGGGGTGGCAGGTGGAGTGAGGGGTGCACATTTAAGAAGGCGGGGCTGTGTGTCTGCGGTGCCTGAGAACCCCATTTCCCAGTGGTCTTGCCTGAGTGTTTTGATGCTCTAAAAATGGGCCCATGTGAATTTGCTTTTGTATTCTTGTTGAGGCAAATATCTTCTGTGTTCATTGGTCATTTGTATTTATTTTTTCGAGGTACTTTGTGTCCTTTAACTATTTTTCTTTTATGTCTTGCATCTTTTTAAAATTGACTTTTAAGAGCCATAGATATGAAGAATATTTCTCTGTTATATATTTTGTAAACATTTGTCTTCAGTTTCTCTCTTCAGTCTGTGTGTGTGTGTTTTTGTGTGGAAGTTGCAAATTCTTACAAAGTCAAACCTGTCTGTGTATTTATTTTCTGTTTTCTGTCTTGGTCATGTTGAGAAGAGCTTCTGCACCCTGACATTTTCTTCACGCATTTTTATGGTGTCATCTTCCGCATGGGCAGAGAGGAGCTGGAGATTAGGGGTGGGGCGGTGTCTTTCGGGAAGTTGTGTTGGGGTAGGAGATATGTGGAGATGGAAGGAAGAAGGCAGAGCAGGATTTGAGGGCTCGGCCAGGCAAGAGAGAAGACATGGGATTTAGGAGCGGTTGTTTGGAAGAGTGAGAGCAAGGAGGAGGGGAGGTGCAGAGGAAAAGCAGCATGTAGATGAAGCTAGGATTTTGTACCATTAGAAATTATTATCTCTAGAAAAAGTGAGTGTAGATGTTGGCCAACTGAAATAATCTCCCACTTCTTGGGAGTTTATATTTTCTAAAGTAGCATTACTAGGAGTATTAATATGTACTGAGCAAGAGGGAAGGGGCTCTGATCAAAACAGTTTGAGCACTGCTAGGCCATACGCTCCAAGCAGGTCTGTGCACTGGGTCGTGTGGGAGCTTCCTGGGCCTATGCAATGGGAGTAGTGATCCCTAAGAAGGGCCTGCTGTGTCCTCCCCTCAGGCTGGGCGGGGAGCAGAGCACGATGGAGAAGTGCTGCTGCAGGCACATAGGTAATGCCCCAGAAGATCTGCATGCTTCTGCCAGGGGTGTTTTCAGAGGCCCTGGGCGGCCCAGACCCTTCAGCCTGCAGTTCTAGGCAGGACAGAGCAACTGGTGGCAAGTCACGACGTGCAGCCTCTTGCCTGCTCTCTTTTTGTTCCAAGTTGGCTTCCCTTTCCTCCAGATTCAGGCCTGTTTGGAAGCTAGTGACTACAGAAAGCTTGAGGCATCTCTTATTTGGCCAGTGGGAGATCTATCAGGCACTTTGTTCTTTAGAACAGTGGTTCTCAATGTATGACCCATGGACCATAATGCTAATTTTGTAATAACACTAAGATGATATTTGCTTTTTTCACTCGTATTTTCTATGAACATAAGGCTAATGGAATGTGTATTTTCTTGTCTGGTTTTTTTTTTTTTTTTTGGTGAGGAAGAGTAGCCCTGAGTTAACATCCGATGCTAATCCTCCTCTTTTTGCTGAGGAAGATTGGCCCTGGGCTAACATCCATGCCCATCTTCTACTTTATATGGGATGCCACCACAGTATGGCTTGACAAGTGGTGAGTCCGTCCACGCCTGGGATCCGAACCTGTGAACCCCGGGCCACTGAAGCGGAGCACGCGCACTTAACCACTGCGCCACTGGGCCAGCCCCTTTTCTTGTGTTTTTTGAATCTTCTAAATCTATCTATACCGTAGGTTTATGGTATAAATATGTGCATTTTTAGAGATTAATAAGTTTTCAGTATTTCTGCTGGGCTGTTACTAGCTGTCTTCTGTTATAACCTGCTATAATTACTGTAACTTGGTATCATTCAATAAATTATTGCTTTGAAATCCTGAAGCTTTCCTTGTGCCTACCTGGAAATACAACAAGAAGTAAGTACACTTTGTTGAGTTGTTTTATAGTAATATTAAGAAATTTCTCAAAAACTTTTCTAAATATTATCTGAAACTGTTATTTTAGATTTTAATGATATATATTCTAAAATAAAACAACATTTATAATATATTTTTCTTATTTAAGTATGGCTCATTGACTTAAAAAGGGAGACTTGCTTTCTCAATCCACAGAGCACCACCTAAGTCTAAAGATGCTAAAAACAAGACACGGACATATCAGAGAGTTCTCTGACTCATGGGAGGGAGGAATCTACTCCAGAGAAACTGGGCAAAACTGTAAATATGAAACAAAAATAGGACAATAGCTACCTTTCCTTGGCTTTCTAGATGCGCCATTTTGTGTCTGTGAACAGAACGTTTTTGCATACTATTATGGTGCCAGTTAAGTTGCAGCATCAGTTTGAGACCAATCATTCAGTTTTAAAGGTAAAGGAATTGAATATTTTAAACGTACATGTGATGAGGTCTTTCAAAGTCAAGCATTAAAAAGTGCCTGAAGCATCTTATAGAGAAGTTATATTGTCAAGGCTAGAGAAGTGCACTTGTGAGCTGAGAGACGAAAAAGCCTCGGGCCATTGACAAGGCTGAGTGCCTGCTGGATGAAAGTCTGTGAGAGAAATCCCGGCACTGCCTGTCTCCTACAGAGGAATTTGCGGGATTAAAGCTGTGGCTGCGGACATGCAGAGGGGTGGGTATCTCTACTGCTGAGCTGCACTTTTGTCCTGCAAGTGGATGAATCTGCGGACTGCACTAGGCTTGCTGCTTTGCTTGCATTCATCTGTTATCAACTCCAACTTACCATCAAAGAAGATATTCTTTTGCCTGAGTGCTTGGCAGTAAGCACAAGTGGTGCTGAAACCATCAGTGTGGAGCACCTCTTGAATCTCATGGTTTGTTCTGGAACAGATGTGTTGACATGTGCACGGAGGGTGCAGAAGCAGTGGTAGGTAACAGTGCCATTGCCAGATCGCAAATCCAGGTTGTGGCCCCAAACGGTGCTAGAAGACCTGAGTTCTTCACAGCCACATGCTCACAGGGAAAAAAGAAAAGCCGGTCTCACTTATGAGTAGTCATTAAAAATTACTGATTTTATTAACATTCTGTATAATGAAATGGGAAGTATGTGTAAAACACTTCTGCTGCCAACCCAAGGGTGACAGTCATCTCAAGAAAAGCACTTGTGTGATGGTTTGCATTGGGAGCTAAACTAGCTACTCTTTTCATAGAAGACCCTTTTCACTGGAAAGTTTGACAAACTATGGTTATTCAGACTTGGCTATTTTGCTGATATTTTTCTGGAAAAGAAATAGAACGAGCCTGTCACTTCAAGGAAAACAACTGCCAGTATTTGTAACCAATGATAAAATCAAAACCTCAAGTGAAAATTAGAATTTTAGGAAACTTTATCCATCACTGTGAGCTTGACATCTTCCCCATACTTAAAGACTTTTTTGAGGAGATAGGTAGTGATATTAATGAATTGATTTGTTGATAGTGTAGAATGAAATTTTTCAACATTTGGAAATTCTCCATAACTCAGCAAACCACTATCTTCCAGATGACCGATGTATGGCACTGTAAAATCATGCGAGGGTGGAAGATCTCTTCAAAGCACAGGGTAGAAGATTCTAATGTCACAGAGCATGAGAAATTCATTGTTGGGGATTGAGAGTCCACGTGACAGCTAACTTGAAGAAACTACACTTGTCGAGTTTGGGTGTAGTATCAAAGAGGAATGCCCACAAATATCTGAAAAGGCTATTAACATATTCCTCCCTGTTCCAACTACTTAGATCTGAGTGAGGCTGATTCCTTCATGTACTTCAGCCCAGACAACACATCACAGTAGAGTGAAGGCAGAGGCAGATACAAGAATCAGCTCTCTTCTGTGAAGCCAGATAGTAAAGAGATTTGCAAAATGTATAGCAGTGTCATGCTTCTCATTAATTATCTTTGTTTTGGGAAAAAAGTTATTTTTTAAAGAATAATATAACAGATTTATTATTGTTTTTTAATGAATTAAATATTTGAAATTGTCTGCTTTAATGTCTCATATGTAAATATTGATGAATGTAACCCAAATAAAGGAAAGCTCTTTGGCGTCTTCCATAAAGTTTAAGAGTGTAAAGGAGTCCCAAGACCTGAAGGTTTGAGAGCTGGCTTTTTTTTCCCCATGTATAGCACATGCTTTAATAAACATTTTTAAAAATTTTGTTGAGGTCATAATAGTTTATAACATTGTGAAATTTCATTTGTACATTATTATTTGTAAATCACCATATATATGTACCCTTTTACCACTTATGCTCACCCCCCAACTTCCTTCCCCTCTGGTAACCACTAATCTGTTCTCTTTGTCCATGTGTTAGTTTATCTTCCACATATGAGTGAAATCATATGGTGTTTGTCTTTCTCTGTCTGGCTTATTTTGCTTAGCATAATACTATCAGGGTCCATCCATGTTGTTGCAAATGGGATGATTTTGTCTTTTTTTATGGCTGAGTAGTATTCCATTATACATATACACCACATCTTCTTTTTTTTCTTTTCCCTGAGGAAGATTAGCTCTGAGCTAACATCTGTTGCCAGTCCTCCTCGTTTGTTTTTGTTTTTGTTTTTGTTTTTTTGTGAGGAAGATTGGCACTGAGCTAATACCTGTTGCCAGTCTTCCTCTTTTTCCTTGAGGAAGAGTGGTCCGGAGCTAACATCTGTGCCCATCTGTGCCAGTCTTGCCCTATTTTGTATGTGGGACGCTGCCACAGCATGGCTTGATGAGTGGTGTAGGTCTGGGCCGGGGATCCGAACCTGCAAACCCCAGGCCTCCAAAGCAGAGCACAGTGAACTTAACCAACACACCACTGGGCTGGCCCCCAATCCTCCTCATTTTTTACTTGAGGAAGATTAGCCCCGAGCTAACATCTGTGCCAGTGTCCCTCTACTTTATATGTGGGTTGCCACCACAGTGTGGCTGACTAGTGGTGTAGGTCCCTGCCCAGGATCCGAACCTGCGAACCTGGGCCACCAAAGTGGAACATGGCGAACTTAACCACTACACCATGGAGCCAACCCCTGCCACATCTTCTTTATCCATTCATCGGTTGATGGGCGCTTCCATGTCTTGGCTATTGTGAATAATGCTGCGATGAACATAGAGTTGTATAAGTCTCTTTGAATTGTTGATTTCAAGTTCTTTGTATACCCAGTAGTAGGATAGCCGGGTCATATGGTATATCTATTTTTAATTTTTTGAGAAATCTCCATACTGTTTTCCATAGTGGCTGTACCAGTTTGCATTCCCACTGAGAGCTGGCTTTTAGAGCAAACCAGCATGGCCACTTGGTCCTCCCTTGCCTGCCTAGAAGCAAAGCGTGAAGAGCCCTCCTGAGGTGGTCAGGAGGGCCACATCGGGACTCTGGCAGCCTTACTCAGCTCTTCTTGGGGTGGCTGTGCCCTGAAATGGCCCAAGCTTGCTGGTGGCCCCAGGCTTGCATCCTTGAATATGGCCTTCTTGAGGTCTGGGTGGGATGATAGGGTGAGGGGAGAACTCTGGCTTTGGAATCAGGAAAAAGGGGGATTTTTACACTGTTACCCCTTGTGAAATGACTGTAGGCAAGTCATGAGACCCTCAGCCCTGATGTTGACATCCATATAGAGATGATGATAAATGTCACCTGTGTGGGGGGAGCCAGAAGCTGTGTGTGCAAGTGAGGCTGTGGTAAAGCCCTGTCTACATGCTAAGAGTGAGGTGTGTCTGACTTAGGTCTGGTTTTGGCTCTGAACCTGCAGATGGCATCTGGCATCTACCACCTGCCCAAGAGAAAAAGGTGCCTATGCTGGGGGGAGGGGTGTTTTCTTCAGGGAGTAGGAATTCACTTTTTGAAGTAAACACCAAAATGATTCCTTTAAGTACTTAAACTTTTCAAAGTAGATAAATAACTAGTATCCTGTTCTAAGTCAGTTGATTAACTGAATGAATGGACTGGGGTGTTTATGCCAATAGTGGAGCTCCTGACCGTCTCTGTCCACGCCCTTGGTGCCCTGCCTTGTGGGTTCCTTTCGCCCCAGCCATTGGATCCAGTCAGGAGCCCAGCTTTGGCTTCTCACCATCTGGGACCCAGTGGCTCTCTGTCTTGTCGGAGGTGAGGCTGTGTGCTTGCAGGCCCACGTGAAAGGGGGAGAGGTCGTGCTTGTCAGTGCACCAGAGGGGCTGGTACGTGTCATTCGGGGGTCCACACTCTGCAGGGACAAGAAAGGGGCTTGTCTGCTTCCCTACAGTGCTAGAACGTTCTGTTGCTGAACTGTTGCTGTGGCTTCAGTTTCACTAGTATGAATGATACTGCTGTAAACTTTTGTGCTCCTCATCTTTGTGTCTCTTTTCTTCCCTAGGATAGATTTCCAAAGCGCTTTTTCAGCAAGTCTCCTAATTTCAGGGCCATTGGTGCTGGTGCAAGTGAGAACACCACTTGCCCAGCATCCACGTCGCGTTTGCCTACACACCACTGTGGTGTGCACCTGGAGACCACAGGGGCTCAGTTTCATGTAGGGCCATTGAGAATTTTTTGGGTCACTTAATTCCTCTTCGGGGAATTTCCAGTTTGTACCTGTTGCTCAGTTTTCTGTTGAGATTTTAAGCCTTATATGTCACTTCGTCTATGCTCTGTGGAGTACAGATGTTGATTCTTTGTGGGTCGTATTTGCTGAAAATCTTCTCCAGCCTGTTTTCTTGTTAATTGTGGTTATTTTTGTACTTAGAGGTTCCGTTTGTTCTCATGTAGTCATGTCTGTTATTCTGTGTTTGGTGACTTGTTTTGTTTTCAGTTTAGAAAGTAATCCCTCCCACCTAGGCTTGATGAATATCCCCTTCTCTTTTTCTTCTAGTTCTTCTCTTGTTTGATTTAACGTTCTGCACTGTCTCTTGTGTTAATCCACCTGAGGCTGCAGAGACACTATGAGGCCTCTTCCTTCTTTGCCTGTCTGGCAGGCTGCCCTGGCGATCTGGTGCCGTCAGCCTGGTGCCCAGCAGCCCGGCTAACTGAAGGGCTTGGTGTGAGATCTTTAATCAGCCTGGACTTAAATTGCGTCCCCCTCCCCGTCCGTATAATTTAATAAAAGCCGTCTTCTTGTTGACTTGTAAGTTGTTACTATACATTGAGTACTTATATAATAGGGCCTGTTCGTTAGGAGAGGCTTTCTGTTTGGCTCCATTGTTTTGTCTGTGTATTTCTGTGCTGCAGTAGATCCTCATTATATTTCCTTTTCAGAAATTTTCTTGATTGTTTTTCTTTGTTTCAAGTCTTGTTTTTGTTTGGTTGGTTTCCAAAATACCTCTGAGAGGGGCCTGCCCGGTGGCACAGCGATTAAGTGCCTGTGCTCTGCTTCAGCAGCCCGGGGTTCTCAGGTTCGGATCCTGGGCATGCACCGACGCACCGCCTGTCAAGCTATGCTGCGGCGGCGTCCCATATAAAGTAGAGGAAGATGGGCACGGATGTTAGCCCAGGGCCAGTCTTCCTCAGCAGAAAAAAAAAGAGGCGGAGTGGCATTGGATGTTAGCTCAGGGCTAATCTTCCCCACAAAAAACAAACAAACAAAAAATAAAATACCTTGAGAGCGAAGTATTGCACCTTTCCTCATATAGGTCACAGCACTTTTTTTGTTAAAATTCTTCTTAGTTGTTTTCAAAATCCACATGAGGCTGCGTCAGCTTACTCGGGGCTCAGATTGGGCGTTGGTCTGGTTGGGTTAGGCTGGGCAGACTTGGGGGCTGGTTAAGCTTGGTGGGAGAACATGATTCCACCAGCGGGGCCATTCTTGCTTGTGTACTAGGTCCCGCGAGGAGCCAGGGCAGTGTGTGGATGTGCTCAGATATTTATGTGGTAAAACTGTCACTGTTTGGGCTGACAGTTGTCTTATGCCTTTTTGAAATATAAAACATTGTGTTTCTACAGTAGAACCTCAGATCAGGAATTTCAGTAAGATCAGACAGAACATAAACCAGTAACTCTTAGCTTTAACCAAAAGAGATAACCTGTAGACATTAAAACAACCTCTTTTAAACTCCTAGTAATCAAAGTGAGGTATACTTGCTAATAATGTGTATTAAACCAAAACCTGTATTTGAAGCTTTCTCTTCTAAATTCCTGTGATATTTGAATAAAAGTACTTTATTACTATGGTAGAAACACCAGATAAGATGTTCTTAAACCGAGGCTGACTTGGGTCTTTTTGGGATTTGTGACTCTAAGCTGCTCCATGGTTTCTGAGCACTGCATCGGGGGTCCCACCTTGGGGAGGTGACTTAGGAACAGCAGTCTGCGTCCTGAGGTTGACTCCTAGCAGCCTCCACCCTTTTGGTGAGATTCTGCGTCTTGCCCCGGCTTTGTTTCAAGTAACAAGGACATGTGTTACGGGCCCAGGTCTGCAGCACAGTTCCCTTCTGCCTTTGCTTTTGTTGTGTGAACACTGCCAAGTGAGAGGTGATAGCAGGCAATATTTCTGGTATCTGTAGACCCTGGTCCAAATTCAGATTGAAAATTCTATAGAACAGTGGGTGCTTGCATACTAAGTTACATTTGAAGTTTTCTCGTGGTGCTGAAGTGAGTGTGGATCTGTGAAGGGAGAGGCTTGGTTCAAGCAAAGGTCACAAATGCCATCAGGAAGTTTATTTTGAAGGGAGGAGTTTGGAGAATTTCTGTCACTGACTCTCATGTGAGTGTCTCATTCTTGTTTTCTTCTTTTTATAGGCACCAGTTTGTAGAAAATAATTTAATACTAAAAATGGGTCCAGTAGATAAGCGAAAGGTAAGTCAGATTACTGCTGCTCCCTCCTGTGTGTCTGTGTCTTTCTCCCAGTTCTAACTCAGGATCAGGTCTTCCTGGGCTCCTGCTGTAACTTGTTACACACAGCATCCTTCGTCTTGGTTCCCTTTTAGAGATCATCTCTAGATTTTATAGCTAAGGAACATTTCAGCCATTCAGGGGAAGCTGTTTGAAACCACACAGGTAAGCCGTGGCAAAATAGAAATACAGCCTCTCGTTTCTGACTTGGGAACCAGGTTCTGATGTCTCCACGAGGTTGGGTTCACCCACGTCAAGGTTTCTGTCCAGTCAAGGAAGCTCTATCTAATATCCCAGCCAAGTCATCTATTACTTCATTAGAATTGTTTTTGAAATTATTTATTATGTTTTATGGATTAATTAAATGGATTATTTGTGTCAAAAAATACCAGACTCTGCAGATGTTCTCCATCTGTTGATGTGGGCCTTTCTAAGCTCAGGCTCCTGGCCTCCTTTCCTGGCCATGCTCAGCCTCACCCACAGTGCTTTGTCAGCACCTCCGTGAAGATGGAGCAGAGGGCACGAGCCGTGGTTGGGCCTGACTATTGATGGCAGGCGTCTCAGAGTTGGCTCAGCAGTGGGGACCTGTGCTGGTGTGCAGCCCTCACGTTTGCCTGCCTGTGCTGCTGCCCCCGCATGTGGCAACCAAAGCAGAGATGCCCCAAATAGGGGCGTTGGGATCCAGCTGCCCAAGGCCAGGCAGGACAGGCAGTAAATGCTTCCCACTTCTCTGACCCGAGTGGCTGGGTCCATGTGGGGGATGAGGTGTGCACGCTCTCTTTGTCCCAGGTGAGTGGACAGGTGGCTGGCAGTGGTCCTTGTGCCTGAGCTAGTCTGATGGTCCAGCCTCTGAGGCGGCAGAAAGTGCTATTAGCACCCTTGACAAACAGGGTCTTTTTTTTTTTTGCATCAGGGTTTATTTGCACGACGACGACAGTTACTGCTCACAGAAGGGCCACATTTATATTATGTTGATCCTGTCAACAAAGTCCTGAAAGGTGAAATTCCGTGGTCACAAGAACTCCGGCCAGAGGCCAAGAATTTTAAAACCTTCTTTGTCCACACGGTGAGTTTGTCCCTATGGGTTCTCCTCTGCAGGGTAGTCATAGGCCTTGTGCCTTCATTTAAAGCATCCAAGTGCTGTGGCCCAAGGGGCAGCTGGACTCAGGGTGATTGTCTCCCCGTTTCCCACATCCCAGGGGCCCCGAGTTCACAGTTTAGTCCTGAGTTGGGACAGGAGACACCTGTGCTTGTTTTTAGTTTGAGGATGACCTAAGGGATCTGTAGGTCATCACCCTGCATGTTTAATCTTCACACATATGTGGGAGGGGAAAATCCACATGCTCACATGCTTCCAGAAGGTACTTGCAGTGGCTGCAAGACGATGGCGATTTCTTTTTATGATTTTTCACTGAGAGGTTGAGGTGCTGGTCTTGGTGGGACTCCCTCGAGAACGTTAACGGTTTCTGTCTCTGCAGCCAAACAGGACGTATTACCTGATGGACCCGAGTGGGAATGCTCATAAATGGTGCAGAAAGATCCAGGAGGTATGGAGGCACAGATACCAGAGCCACCCGGACGCCGCCGTGCAGTGACATGCCCAGAGCTGCTGCCCTCGCTGCCAGGACCTGTGCCCCAGCGCGGCTCGCCGCCATCAGGACGCTTCCAGACCGCCTGCCAGCCATCTCAAGGGGGACGCAGACAGCGGAACCTTGCAGCTTTTTTATTTAAAAGAAAAGAAGAAAAAAATATATCCAACCACACAAAGAACAAAACCAATAACGAAAAGGAATTCAGGGTCGCTTTGCTTGCTCTCTGTGCTCTGTGGAGGCTTCGTGCCCTCCCTTGCTGTGGGGACCCAATGCCGTGCCCGGCCGATTCCCACCCAGACTAGTGGACAGACTCGCGTCACCAGCTCTCCACTGCACGCCAGACTCGCCTTCTGGGCCTGCTGTGGCCGCGGGGACGGGGTGTGTCTCTGGGCTTGTTCTGCCCCTAAATTCTCATGGAACTACTCACCAGGGAGCTGTGCACACCTCTGCCAGGGGTGGCCCCGGGCTCCGTGCGGTAGGGGGGGTCTTGGCTTTTGTCCTTGTGCTCTTTTTCTCACGTCCCTAGTTTATGGCCCATCCCGTGCCCCCTCTGGCCCCTTCCTTGCCTCCTCGCGTAGCTCTGGCACTGGGATTTCTGTGGTTCTTATTGTCTGTCTGCAGGTGCTCCACATTGTTGTGTCTGCCAGGCAGGCTCCAGAAGGTGAGAAGTAGAACAGGTTGTCAACGTGCACTACGGAGCTGCTGCTGAAGTTGGAGGGTGCCAGCAAGGTGGTCACATTTATCATCCCGCTGGGCAGTGTTGTCCTCCAGGGCTGGAAACCAAGTGCATGCCTACAAGGAGCACTGTCAGAAGGGGGCCCAGTTAGCACCTGGTTGTTCCTGGAGACAGGGCACTGCCCTGTCCCGTGTGAGGTCAGGGCAGCAGGGCAGACTGGGCGTGGTGGCCTCCATGTAGAGGAGTGAGACTTGATGGGCCCTTCCTGCGAGTTTATTTAAAAGGTGAAATGTGCAGGCCTCCCCCCAGTTGATTACGTAGGGGCTGAGAGACCCCTGGTTTCAGCAGATGGGACGGTACTCAGTCACATCCAGGCAGCGTGGAGGAGTGTAGGCTCCTGGCCGTCACATGCACCCTTGTCGTGCGTGTTGCGATTGAACATTCTCATAGCCTAACTCCAAGCATGTGTACATCTCTACAGTGAAAATCTAGAAGGCTTCTCATGTTGCCAAGGCATCTGGTCCCCATTGAGTGGACTTTGCCTGGAAAAAAGTGTTAGTCACCTTGCAGGAGGGGCAGGAACACCACACTGAGCCTGTGTGCCCTGGCCTGCTCTCCTCCTCCAGTTTCAGCCTGACTTCCTTTCCCTTTAGAGGACGCCACTGCTGTGTCCTGCATGTGGTCCAGGACTCACCAGTCCTTTGATTTTTCTCTGCTGCTGTTCTCCTGTCAGCCCGGTGGGGCTCAGCCACCCCTCTCCCTGCCTAGGTTGTCCCTGGAGGGCTGTCCTCAGTCCCAAGTGGGAGAGGAGCAGGCACCACTGCCCATGGACTGCTCACAGAGACATCTCTGTCCCCTGGGGATGAACAACTTTGCCATTCCCTTTAGACTTTCACAAAGGCACCAGCAAAAGGCTCACAAGAAAAGATTCCCCCCAACTACTTCCCTGCCCCCCATCTCCTATCTGGAACCAGCTGTCACCCAGTGTGACCAGTGGTCCAAGTTGAGAGGAACAATGTCGAGTATTTCTTAAACTTTTAGTGATGAGTGGCTCTCTTTAAACCGGGAAAAAAGTACGGATGTTGGGGATTCCATTGTGCTTGGTAGTGGGAGGGGTTTGGATGGGAGCGGAGGTGGTGGCCAAGTTTGCAGTGGTTTCTGCTTGGGCCTTGTCCACCGCTCTGTGAGAGCCAGGCGAGAAGGGGGGAGAGAGAGAGAGAGAGTGAGTGAGAGTGTGTGTGTGTGTGTGTGTCTCAGGTGCCCAGGTGTTGGGGGTGTGCCTGCCCTGGGGGCGCCCCGGAGAGCAGAGCACTGCCATGGGCGTGTGGTTGGAAGTCAGGCTCCCTCTTTCCTCCTCCTCGCTTTTGAAAAGGCTTGCGTATGCTCACCTGCTCTTCACAAAGTGAGTCTTGCTTGTACCTTCCTTTCAGGAGTTCGATTTCAGGTTTACTCCCCGTGTTTATAGTTCATCCCCCTCAGAACATCCACGTCTGTGTGTGCAGTTCGGAAGCCGCTTTTGCACAGTGTCTTTCCTGGGTGTCTGGTCACAGGGAAACAAGCAGAGCTGATATTTGGCTTTAACAAGTGTACTCAGCTGGGCTGCTTGGGGAGAGACGAATCTTCCGTTCCATTCTTCCCTCTGGATAGCGCCACTACCTCCTGGGCTTAACCGACAAGCTCCATCTTAACCTCTGAAACCAGAGAATAAGGGGTTCAGGGTTGAGCTCACAGCTGACAGAGCTGAAGTGACTACCCTTCCCTGAGCCAGTGACAGCTGAGCCCTTCTCTGTAGGTCACCTTTCTCCTCTCACTCAGAGTCCTCTTTTTTTTTTTTTAGGCCCGTACATAATCTTTTCTTACCCTGTACTTACTCATGTCAACTTTAGTTTTATCCAACTCATCCTTAGAGCCATCACCCTAGCGTGCAGGTGCCTTACATTCTAAGAGGTGGACGTGGGTGTCAGTCTGGGTGCATACACAGACATATGGAAGTATAAATGTGGATTTATCCAAGGTGAGAAAGAAAACACCCTGTTTAACAGGTCCAGGTGCCATGTGTCTTCCTGAGAGAGGGCAAGGACAAGTATAGGGGCCACACCCGCCAAGTAGAGACGGTCCCACATCGTGTGGCCTCTCTTGGCACGGAGGGGAGGGAGGACGGCCAGGAGGGCTGTGGTCTCCACTGGCTCAGGCAGCCCACTGTGCCTTGCTTCTCTCTGGGAACGGGAGGAAGCTGGGTTTGGATGGGGTGGTTTCCTTCCCTCTTTCTGTGGACCCGACCAGGGTGGTGGGCAGCCCCATGTGGAGCACAAAGCCCCACCCTGTGAACGGCCCCGCAGCCGGCCTGCCATTCTGAACCTTGACTCTCTGGAGGCTTGTTACAGACTTGGCTTTGAGAAAGATGGCTCTTAGGGTCACGCCAAAGCTGGTGGGAACTGCACCTACTCCCACCCCGTCAGGCCACTTGGTATTTGTGGCCCACGCCTGAAGGAATTGCAAGAGATAGCCCTGTGGCACAGACCCCCCCAGGGCAGTGTGCCAGCACGGGGGCTCCAGGGGACTGTACTTTCATACTACATTCGTTTTCTGAAAAAATCAACGGTAGGCTCACCACCCAGAAAAGACCACTGTGAACATTTTGGTGTATAGCCTGCCCCTCCTGCACACACACAGTTGTTTCCTTTTTAAGCTAAACTGGGAGCATACAACATACACCATTTTGCATCCAGCTTTTTTCACTTGATGATTTTATCTTAAGCATTTCCCCATGTCTTCATATATGAACAATGATTCAAAAACATTGTTTTTAATGATTGTAGAGTTTAATGTTATACATTTTATCATAATTTATCTGACCATTTCCCTGTTGTGAAACATTTAGATGGTTTCTGGTTTTTCACTATTTAAATAATGCTGCGATGAATATCCTTATAAATCTTTGGCTTTTGACTCTGAATCCCCCCACCCCGATTCCTAGAAGTGGTATTTTTGGGTCAAAGAGTTTTGTTAGTTTTAAAGGTGGTGGTAAATCTCTCTTCCTCTGTCTTGATCTGACGCTTAGATGCTCAGAGTTCCAATACAGAACCTTCTTAGTTGTATCCTACAGATTCTGAACACATCCATTTCTGGTAAGCTGTGTGTTCCAAAGAATGTTTGAGTAAGACTGCTCTCTCTTTTTTTTTAATGCTAAAATGATGTCATTACTGCAGTTCATTTGTGACAGATTCTTCCAAAAGCTCATTTCCTTATTTTCATTGAAAGAGTCTGGTTACGCTTGCATCTTAGTGACCTTCCCGTCCCTGCTGCTGTGGCTTTCAAGCGCTTGGTAATATTTTCAGAATCTCCTACTTTGTGTCCACAATGGTACTGAATTTGCATCTGCACAGTCAGCAGAGATAAAAAGTGTTGAACTGACCTTGCCACATGCTAGTGGATTTGTAATGAAGTTCATAGACTCAGAAAGTACACTGGGCCATTTGGAATCGGTAAAAGCAAAGGCTCTACTTGAAAAAGAAACCACGTAGACACTTGGGTTTCACACAAGTGTTATTTGTCCCCATGTTCTTCACGTCGTGGGACTTCGTCAGAATGTCTTATGGGTTCAGTGGAGCCAGTGGCCAGGCTTTCTCACTAGAATGTGACTGTCCTGTGGCCAGGCTTTCCCACTGTGGAGTGTGTCCTGGCTGCTGTGGGTTTAAGGGCTTCTCCCCTCTCCTCACCCACAGTGTCGCAGGTTGCCTAGTTGTCCTCAAGCCCAGACCACCCAAATTTGGTTTCATTCTTAATTTCTCCACTTAAGGTTGGAGTCTCTTGATTCTGAAAGGAAACATGCATGAGAGATTTTTCTAGGTGCCATGCTCAGTGCCACTTAACTCTACCAGAGAGTATGGCTGAATTGTTCAGAATTAGGTCTCCTGCCTTCCTCTGAACCTGAGCCCCTCTCCCCGGCGGGTCCACTGACTGCAGAGGCTGCAGCCACTGGGAGAGAGCGGTGAAGGTACTGTTCTTGGAGATGTTGCCATATACATGTTTTTCCACATTGTTTCTTTTCATATCCAAACCTGAAATGAACTGATGGTGACTCAAGTGGGTGTGGCCCTGGGTTTTAGGCGGCCTACAGGGCAAGTGCCTTAAATCAGGGCAAGAGGCACTCCCAGAGCCTCTGAGGGGCGCAGGCTGCTGGCCCATGATTGCGGGGTTGTAAATCAGGCTGCTTGTGGAGAGTGGGTCTGGAGGGGAAGCCGGTCCAGCAAAGAGCAGTTTTATCTGTAGCTCAGACAGCCGTGGTGGGCAGCTGAATGAGCCTACGTGTATACCTGAATTTTCCCCATAACTCATTTCTTCAATATGAAGAAACACCAAACTTTGTGTACAGAGAACTTTTTACAAAGGCAAACCTTTTTTAGCTGTGTAATCCACCCTGGTCTAACGGTCTGGCTGAATGAATAGGGGTGATTTTGCTGGTGAAAAGCCTCTATCATGATCAGAAGTTTGATTGGACCTTGGCAAATTAAATTCTTGCAGTATTTAGAGCTGCTGCAGCTGTTCCTTAACACAAAATAGGATGAATCAATAAATAGTATGTTAGCTGTCTTTCAGGTTGGTGGCAGGCAGTGAGAACATGTGTAATATTCTCTACCTGGTCTGTAGCTGTAACTGTGATGTACAGGCAAAGCAAAAATTTAAAAAAACTTATGAAAACAAATAATGCAATGATATTAGGATATACACTTTTGTATTTTTATTCTTATATAAGGTTATTTGCTGGCTCTTGTTGGCCTCTAGTTCAGTCTGTGTTATTTAAAATCTAATATATGAATTATTTGGATTGAATTCATGTTCGGGGCCACGTTGTTGTATGTATTGATGTACAGCCTTGAATGTGAATAATTATTGTAAACTATATTTTACAACTTTTTTTCTGGCTTTATTATATAAATTTTCTATTTGGTCAATGATTTAATCATATCATAATTTAATGAATCTGTTTATTCTCTTTTTCAAATATTTGTGCTTTAGATGTAGTTACCGGATGATGAATTTTCCACGTATGCTCGGTAGTCTTGTAATAAAAAAGCATGTAGAGTGTAGACGCTCGCTGGTACCGCAGCTCTTCCTTTCGCCGGGGCTGCGGGGCGGGCGTGGTCGCGACTTGGGTTCTGGGCCGGGAACCGGACGTCCGCGCACCGCACGCGCGGGGCGGAGGCTGCCGAGCGCTTCTCCACTCGGTCGCCGGTCCCCGCGCTGTTCGCCCGCGTGGGCGTCCTGGGACCACGCCGTGCCCGGCCCCGGCCGGAAGGGGGCACGGCCGGCCGCTTTTCCGGACCGGAACTTCCGCCTCTTGCGTGACGCCGGCCGCGTGGGCGGGACAGAGCTCGAAGGACTGTATTAAAGACCGGACGCTTCCGGTGCAGGGGCGCTGTGGTGGGGCTTGCTGGGATCATGGCGGAGAATCACTGCGAGCTGCTGCCGCCGGCCCCGAGCTGCCTCGGGGCGGGACTGGGGGGCGGCCTGTGCCCCCGCTGCAGCGCGGGGCTCGGCGCGCTGGCCCAGCGGCCTGGCGGCGTGTCCAAGTGGGTCCGGCTGAATGTCGGCGGCACCTACTTCCTCACCACCCGTCAGACGCTGTGCCGGGACCCGAAATCCTTCCTGTACCGTCTGTGCCAGGCCGACCCCGACCTGGACTCGGACAAGGTGAGGGCCGCGCCGGCCGGCCACGAGGGTCCGGGCCCTGCCCGCGCTGGGGAGACCGCCCCGCCACAGTTCGGCCCGAGCCCCGGACTCCCTGCCTGGGCCGGGGACGGAGGGGATGGCGCCCTGGCGCCCACTGCCTTCGGGGATCCCCGGCCACGCCACCTCGAGGCGTCTCTGTCTCGTCCTCTCTGCTCTGTGGCGGAGGAGGCTTCCCAGACCCCGGACTTTTTTGTGAGTCTGCTTTCTTCTCCTCCCTCGACTCTTTGGCCCCTGGTGTGTGCACACCTTCTCCTCTCCGCGCCGGGGTACTTAGTGGTTCTGGAGTCGGGGAACCCTGGCGCTGTTCTCGTCTGTTCACATTCCGGGCGGTTGACTTACCGTTGGCGTGGGGGGTTTCACGGGTGGCCTGCCTTTGCCAGTGACTTGCATTTAGAGAGTTGGCGCTCCACCGTCTTCAGCCACAACACTCAGCGCTCTCAGAGGGTGCCATCCATAGAATGATTGTTCAAAGGGAATGCTGCTCATATTAAGGGGTGGCTTAGGGGTGTCAAGGAAGGGCCAGGGGGGAAATCTTTTTCAGTCTGCTTTCTAATTAGCCTAGTTTTCCCACTGCCCTGGCAAAAGGATCGGAATTTCTAGGTTAGTTTGCAGCTTGTCTTTCATCAAGTTTAATGTTCACACTGTTGTACGGTGGTAATAGAAACTATTTTGGTGATTACCTTTACTTTAAAAGACCTGTGTGACCGAGGAAGAGTATCTCAGGAACTGAACAGGATTGAAACTCAGGAAAGGCGTTGTTGAAAAAGCTATTACTATATTTGTCTTGGGCAATTCACAAGCGTTATTCTAACTTGCCAGGGTCTTGCAGTTGAGCCTGCATAATTGCACTTGGCCTTGTGCCTTGCCACCCCAACATTTGCCAGACGTAAGGCTTCCCAGAAAGATTCAGATCTCTCTTCAAGTTCGAGAACCCTGACGGAGACCATCCTCCCTGTGGCATGACCTTATGATCAGGAAATGAGAATTCTTGAGTTACCACAAAACCACCCATCATGGGTAGGAATCAGGGTTTGAGATGCCAGCGCTCTGGTCCCCTGGTGCCCCCGCCCACCCCCCTCAGCTATTTCCATTGCTCATTTGTCTGAGCTCTCCACTCTTAGAGGATTGACCTCCCAGAAAATGACAGTCTTCTCCAGGATAGAAATAGTCTTTTGTCAGTTGTGATTTTTCTTTTATAGTGTGGGTCTATGTTTTACTGTTTTGTTTTTCTTTTTAAACAGAGTCTTGGGGTCATTCACTTGTATTTCTACTCAAGCGTTCCTGTTTTGTATATTGAGTCAGGTTTTAAATTGTTCTTGTCCGTTGGGTTGTTTGTTTTGAGGCAATGGCTGTCGATTCACCACTGAAACAATTAATACAGAGCCGATAAGCTGTAGCTTGCGCAGTTAAGTCGATTCATCCCTTTATTTTACTGTCTCAGGACTACTTAAAAAATTATGCTTTACTGTAATAGGAGTTCTTTGGGAGAGGGTAATTAATCTATCACAATATATTTATGTTGTAGTTTCTTTTTTTTATCAGCATCCACTTAAATATATTTGATTTCTGAATTGTAAAACTGAAATTTAGATACGGTTTCTGTCTCATAAAATAGTTGATAGTAAATAAGGGTTAATTTTAGTCACAGATAATGTGGATTTGCCAGAAAGAGTAATGCTAATTTGCATTAGTCATGGTAGCGTTTTACTTCAAATGAGAAAATGTAGAAGATACTCGGTCTTCTCAGTTTTTTCCCCCCTTGTTTCTGATAAAAGAATGTCCCAGTGGGGCCGGCCCGGTGGTGCAAGCGGTTAAGTGCGCGTGCTCTGCTGGGGCGGCCCGGGGTTCGCCGGTTCGGATCCCGGGCGTGCACCGACGCGCTGCTTGTCGAGCCGTGCTGTGTTGGCGTCCCATATAAAGTGGAGGAAGATGGGCACAGATGTTAGCTCAGGGCCAGTCTTCCTCAGCAAAAAAGAGGAGGATTGGCATCAGATGTTAGCTCAGGGCTGATCTTCCTCACACACACAAAAAATGAATGTCCCAGAGATTCACTCCTAGATAGTTAAACCCCGAGTGAGGAGCCTGAGGGTGAGGCTGGAGATATTTGGGGGAGTGGGACGCTAGTATTTACAGGGTGGAAGAGAAACAGGATGTTGATTCACATGTAAAAATCTCCAAGCCCTGACCTCATAAGTTAAGATTAATGAGAGCATACCTGGCCCCTATTCCTGGGCTGACTGAGAGCACAACCTGGTGGAAGATTTCCTCCTGGGCATTTGACTAGTATTTATGGAGCACCTGGGCTTGCAGAAGGTGGCCCTTGGATAGGGGTTGGGTAGGGAGATTTAAGGGGGAGGAGTTCCAAGAAATGGAAGACTTGGAACCTTTCAGGAACCTGATGGTTTTGGAGTTCACTGGGAGAGTGCCTGGAGCTTGCTCTTAAACGCAGACTGTCTGGTGGGGAGCTCCATAGGTGGTGAGTGGGAGAGGTGGAGTTATAGGATGCTTTTTGGAGGAGTGCTTTTAAAGCAGTCGACAGACTGGTTGTTAGGAAGGGTGGGGAGCTCGCTTGCCACTGGTTCCCCTTCCCCTAAGTCCTCACGTTCCCTGTCTCAGGACTGAGCCTGGGACCCACTCCCACCAGGCCCCGAGCTCCCAAACCCTTACCCTCTTGTCTCAAGTTCTGACTCTGGGTCCATTGCTGCCAGGAAGTTCTCTTTATAGACAGCCCAAGTGTGAATTCTCACTTCCTCCTGGGGCTTCCTCCAGTGGGCTATGTCTGCGTTATTCATTTCAGCTTCTGCTCGTTGGCTGTCTAGGCCATTTTTCTCTCCCACATTCCTTTAGGGGCAGGCAGGTGTAATGCTCCTTCCCGGAAGTGCTTTGTAAATACTTGGCGTGTGATTCATTTGGTTATGTCTCTTTGTGTTCCGTGGTACCTGCCCCACAGGCATTTTGGGAAACAGGTTAGAGGTGGTTTAGAGCTGAATCAGCCCCGTGCAGAGGTGCTTTAGGAGTTCAAGGGAAACAGGAAGTTGCCAACGCTTGGTGGTTGGAAACCACTCAGACTGAGTAGGATTTGGGGGGTTCAGTCTCTGCAGCTGAGCCAGGCCTGGAGGGAACTGCAGGTTGCTCATGAGCTTGTGTCCTTTGACAGAGCTTTGTCCTGGTGTCGGGGTTGCAGGTGCGGTGGCATCAGATGGGTCTTTGAGGGATGGGGCTATCAGGGTGCTTCTGATGACATGTCTCTTGCATTCTTTGCCTGTGCTCACTCCAGGTGTACATGGCATTGGCAAGAGTTTCAGGGTAGGAAAGATAGTGGAAGGAATTTTACAGATGGGCGAAGTGACGGGGGTGTGGGTGGAAGTACGATCTTTTAAGCCACTTGGCAAGAGAAGTGGGGATTACTTCGAGTGGGAACGGCAGCTTGTGTCTCGGGGAGCTAGGTCAGAGGCGAGAAGCTAACGTGCCGGATCCCTGCACGCATCCTGTGCCTGATGAGAGTGCTGCTTCGAGTGGTCTGAGGCCGAGGGCTGTCCCGTGACCCTGTCGCCTCATTTCACACTGCAGTTGAGGATGTGGCTCTGAGCATGTTCTTAGCCCTGACCACGCAGCATGGTTTGTTCAGGACCTGAGCGAATGGTCCTCTCTCATGCTGGGGGCACCCCCAACCCGTGCAGCTGGTGCTGGTGCTCAGTGAGTGCTGCAGTCACCTCTTCACAAGGCACCTGATTTGAATGCCCCTTGGACCTGAGCCAGCCACGAGTCAGTGCCGGGAAGTCCTGAGAATGGACTCGCCTCTGGTGGGAAGAGCTTGCTGCAGGGCCTCAGATGCCAGCCCTGGCCGCAGAGGGCCCCTGTCGGGAGGAAATGGCTGTCAGCTGCAGGGCGGTTCCTCCTCCTGCTGACCACACATGCAGCCTTCTGTTGCTTTTGTCCAGCGGGACAGTGACTGGTCTTGGTTTAGAGCAGCGGTCAGAAAACCATGGTCCACCTGGCTGATTTTGCAAATAAAGTTTTATGAGAACACAGAGATGGCCCCTCGTGTACAAGTTGTCTGCAGCTGCTTTCACATGCAAGAGGTGCTCCAGATCAGCGCTCACTGGACCCGCAGTCCTTAAACTCCTTTAAAGGAGCTGACTCTGCTTGGCGCCGAGGAAGGGGTCTGCGTGGCCAGGGTGCCTGCAGCACTGGTGCTCTCATCAGGCCTTAATTGGGCAGGTACTCTCACCAGACTGCAGAGCACTCAGAACATTTCCGTCTGGAGTTGGTGTGATGTGGCTGTTGGAGGGGAGGGAGCGTTTTCCGTGGTAGCAGGGTCTGAGACTTGGGACTCAGACCTGACTTTGACTCTGCCCACATCTTAACCGGCTGTGTGAGTTGGGGTAAGTTAATGTACCTGTCTGAGGCTTAGTCACAGAGGAGTTGTGAGAACGAAGGAAGATGATGAATGTAACACCGCCCCCACCCAGTGCCCGGTGCTGGGTCATTGCAGTAAATAGAGACAGCTCTTACTAGTCTTTATTTCACTTTTATACTGTGTTTTTGGAAAGAACATACAGGAATGCTTTTTTCTCCCCTCAGAGTTTGTTACTCTTTGTCTCTTGCATACACTCGGTCACCACACACCTCGCGGTGCTGGCAGGTCGCTCTGTCTGTGTGGGAGCTGGGCCCTCCTGTCTGCCTTGCTTCCCCAGCTACCTCTTCATGCTCCACCCAGAGCTCCTGCTGATCTTAGGACAGGTCCTGGAGGGCGGGTGCCCAGCTTGAGCCTCGGCTTCCTGGGCAGCAAACAAGTTTCCTTGCAAGAAACATGATGCCTTGGAGCCTGGAGAATAGAGTTCGAGTACCATCCTCCCCGTGTGCTTGGGATGGGCTCATAGTGTCCTGGGAGCATCCGAGTGGGGTGCACTGAGCCTCTCCCTGTCCGTCAGCTGTGTTCTGGTAGGTTCTAGTTTCCTCAGCAGTTGGGCTTCCAGGATCTTGGCCTGGTTTTGCAAGTCAGGCTTGGGTGGAGATGGTTCTGGAGGTGATGAGCTGGGCCAGCCCCTCATTGCTGACAGATTGGTTTTTCAAAACGGGCAAAGGAGAGACAGGCAGCACTGGGGGCCAGGCCGTCCTCGGTGGGGAGGGGCAGGAGGTGAGGGAGCAGAGGAGCTGCAGGTTTGCCCTTCGGCCCCAGTGAGAGGGAAGGGTGAACTCTGCACTGGATCCATCAGCGGGGCCGAGTGGGAAGAGAGCAGAGGCCCCCTTGGAGCCAGCGGGGCAGTGGCTGTGGGGACAGCTGGCAGAGAGGGCTAGGTGTAAACCCCTGGCGGGATGTCCTGGCTGCAGTGTCCTGCCTGCCAGCACTGAGCAGCTGGCGCCCAGGAGGCTGGAGACTCTGGGCTCAAGGAGGCCTCAGCCCCAGGCTGGCAGAGCCACTGGGAGGGGTTTGCAGCCGGGGACCCTAGGTTGCTCCTGGGGTGCTTCTGCCCTGGGCCATTGTGGTTCCACCTGCTTCCATCTCGAGCTGCTTTTCTCAGGCCAGCAGCTTTGTGTTCTGCATGCACACTCACACGAGGGTGAGTCTGGGGACGTCTGTGGGGATTCAGGTGCAGGCTTCTGCAGCTGGAGTGTCTCTGAGGGGAGCACCTGAGGCATTGGGCGGATGGATGGCCTCTTGCCTCGTGACGTAAATGTTCATAGCAGCTGTGACCCGGACAGGTGGCACTCGGGCTGCAGGTCCACCACAGCATCCTGCCTGCCCTGTCCCCTTGCCCCAGGGTGACCCTGGCACCCACTTCTGTCCGTGCGCAGTAGATGCAGCGTCTGCTCTGGGTGGGCCCCAGTCCTGCCAAGCTAAGCGGGTCGCTGTGAACCATCTCCACTAATTCACGAGCTCGGTGGGACGCACCGTAGGTGGGTCTGAAGCACGCTTGTTCCGAGAAGTCCCAGGAGCCTCAGATGTGGGGGGCCTTTCACGAGTTCACCGTGTTTGCTTCCTGGTGAGCCCCATCTGAGTCGTGTGTGTCATCCTGTATTCTGTTTCTCAGCCACATTGAATGGCGTTTGTCTGGGACTGGGGAGGCAGCCTGGGGGTCAGAGCCCCATGAGCGGGGTGCTGGTGAGGGTCTGAGGGGGTTTGTTTCCAGGGGCAGCGCCGAGGGTCGAAATGACCTGGAGCCCTGACGTGTGCACCCCTGTGTCCGCCCACAGCCCCGGCTTCTCCTTTACTCCCTGTGCGTGCTGAGAGTATTGCAGATCTCCGGGTGTACACAGGGCACTGTGGGGTCTCGTGCAGGGAAAATGAAATCAGAACCCTTGGGCGCTCCTGGGCACGGGTAGCGCGGTTGCCGCCTGGGGTCCTGGCCCGCTCTGCATGCCCAGGTGCCGCAGACAAGCCTCTGGTCTCTGGGCCCCCATGTCCTCTTCGGTAATTGGTGATGCATAAGGCTTCTTCTGGGTCAAGGATTTGCCAAACTAGAAAACAAAACAGAAAAGAGAGCAGAGGTGAAGGTTTTATGAGCGAATTTGAAATAGTCACTTAAAATGGATAATTTCAGAGTAAAAGATCGCAAATGTTTGTGCACAGAGAATTCTATGCTTTTGCATTTAGATTTCAATGGAGAAATCTGAGAGAGAGGATGTATCTCCCATTCAGCTCAGGACACTCAACCCTCTTAGTTTCACGTGTCCAGTGGCTGTCTCTTTTCTCTTGCAACAAAGTTGTGATCGTGTTCCACTTCCTGGCATGTTTGTGGAAATGGGAGGGTGATTGAAAGGAGCCCAGTGCAAACGCTCTAGAAGAGCCTGAGGGGGACGTGTCCACAGACTTGTTTTCTGTTTAGAATCTCGCATGAGAGCTTGACGTCCTCGACCTCATTCCTGATTGTCATTTCAAGACCCTGTGGTTGTCAGGGAGGGACCAGCTGTCGGGGCCAGGCCCGCTTGACCCATGAGGCTGGGCTGGGCAGCACGTTTGATTCTGCCTTTAATGTGAGGGCCGAGTTTTACCTCTGGGCACAGCGTGGGCGGGGAACCTCAATCCCCGGGGCTGTTTACTGGTGCCTTACTGGTCCTCTCAAAGCATTGCTTCCGAACCAGCAACGTGAGCTGAGGATGCTGGGCGGCTCTGAAAGAAGAGGATGGGGTGGGGCTTGCTCGGTGGTTTCCAGTCAGAATTATCTTCTCTGCTTCCCTCCTTTTTGGGACTGCAGGTCAGGGGTCTCCTGGGAGAGCATGTGATGTGGGCTCGGCCCTGCCTTTGCCTACAGGCTCCTCTCAGAGAAATGGCTGTGGGCACGGTGCTCCTTGCTGTGGCCAGGGTATCACCTTTGTGGCCTGGCAGCCACCCTGCCCAGGACTGATGGTGCCGCAGCTCAGGCTCAGGGATGCAGGGTTCAAACTTCCCCTGGAGACCAGTGACTCTGGCCTCAGGGGTTGGGCCCAGTTAGAGTGGAATTCAGCCAACCTGGGCATCAACGAGCCACCCCTCCCCACCCACTCCATCCCTTCCCCTGCCCGACAGTGTGTGGAGCTGCACGGCCATTAAATATTCAAGAGCCAAGGGCTGAGTCCAGCCTTTCCCTTTTCTGTGCCTTTGGGGTAGATGTATATTTTTAAAGCCAGCACTTCACAAGTAGGTCAAACACTAATTCATTGAGAAGTGGGGGGAAGGTCAGTAGATTTGTTGAGAAAGCAGTCTTAATTCTGGCTCTTTTACAAAAATTAAAAACCCCAAACCTCACGACTATATAAATGGAGCACACGCTTGTTCTATAAATTGAGCGAAGGACAGAAAGGAGGAGGAAGAAGAGAGACCTGCATGTGTTGCCATCCCACCAGGGTTACTATCTTGTCTGGATCCCTGCTGTCTTTAGAAGCCAACACGCCGAGTCTCCATCATCAGGCTCTCCCTGGCGCTCGTGCAGCCTGGTGGACTGAGGGAGGAGGTGTCCGCAGCGTGCCAGTAGCTGTGCCTCCCTCGTTCCCCCAGTTGCTAGTGTGGAGACCACCGAGGTGGTCCTCTCTGCTTTTGCATAGTGAGCCTAAGAGTTCTGAATTTGGGATTTTTGTGTGTTTTCTGTGTCTGTATTCTTTTTTTTTTTTTTTAAAGATTTTATTTATTTTATTTTTTCCCCCCAAAGCCCCAGTAGATAGTTGTATGTCATAGCTGCACATCCTTCTAGTTGCTGTATGTGGGACTCGGCCTCAGGATGGACGGAGAAGTGGTGCCTCGATGCGCACCCGGGATCCGAACCCGGGCCACCAGCATCGCAGCGCGCGCACTTAACCACCAAGCCACTGGGCCGGCCCTCTGTATTCTTTATTTCTGCATTAGGACGGAGGACCCAACACAAGCACATGAGGTGCTGAGGCCCCTCACACCTGTGTCAGTTGCACTCGGGTCAGCTCGCCCAGCAGCTGGGATGGGACAGCAGCGAGGCCTCCTGTCCATGGCCAGCCCCTTGCCAGTGCCCCATGACTAGGGCACACTGCTCACGCTCCGGTGCTCGGAGACGGGGTTTTTACAGAGCTCCTGCCTGTGCAGCTAAGTGAGAGTCAGTCTGTGGTCGTCTGGGCTGTAGCCCAAGATAAAGCCCAGTGGAATGTTGGAGTCTTGGTGTAGGGCCCCCAGCACTGCTTGTAGAAGTTGAAATCTCCCTTCTGAGGAGCTCCATGCTGAGAGCACCACCCCCTACGCTGCTGCCTGTCCTGACCCTGGAGTCTCTCAGCCTTGCTTCTTAATGAACCCTGTCTGATCCAAACAAATCCACAAGAAGAAACCAGGCCAGAGATCCCTGCCATGGCTCCATGGAGCAAGCCGCTTCCGAAGTTCCTTAAGTGCTGCTCCTCAGTGGCGGGGCTGGGCAGGCTGGCTTATCACTGGAAGAGGATGGCTTTTGAGTAAGCGAGTGTGAGCCTGGGTCCCAGGTGGTTCGGCTTTCATGCTCCCCCGATGCTGCGGCTCTGTGCCCCGCTTTCTGAGGTGCCAGCTCTCTCCTGGCTGTTCTCGCGTTGTGCTGCCCACTTCTCCGTGGGCACCTCACTTGGCCCACGTGAGTGGGTGAGTGCCAGGGCCCACACACTGTAGCGGGAGCATCTCTTGGTGGATGCCCACCCCGTGGATCCAGACCTCAAGATGTGTGCGGGTTCTCTTTGCTCTTCCCTCCCTGGCCTTGGCTCCCAGCCAGGTTAGCAAACATCTTGGACTCTTGGCCTTATTGTTCTGGAAGTCTCTGAGAGGCTGCTGCTTTAAAGCTGCTCTTAATTGAATGAAGGTGGGGATCCCTGTGCAGGGAGACAGGCCTGCGCCTCCTTTTGATGTCTGGGTAATTGGGCACACAGGCTTCTTGCCTTGGAGCACAAGGTACGAGTGGGGACCAGAGGCTCCCAGCGTGATGGGAAGGCTAAGGGTGGCTTGCTGTTCCCGAGCTAGTGCTTTGTGCCTTTGCCAGCCTGGGCGGTGGGTCTCCAGTCCTTCCTGGACGGGAAGGAGAGTGACACCCTGCCCCTGGGTTAGAGGTCTTCACTGCTGGCAGGGTCTCACTTCAGGCACCCCAGGAAGGGACCATGAACCAGCCTTGGAAAGCCCACAGCTGGCATTCGGAGCGCCCACCCTGTGTGCAGTGTGCTCTGAGCTGAGGGGCAAGGCCTGGGGCCGGCTCTCCTTCAGCACATCAGCCAAGGGACGTTTCAAGGCCCAGCCCTGGCGCAGCTCTCCAGTGCCGTGTCCGGGCTCCCCGCCTGCGTTCCTGCTGTGCCTGGGCAGCTGCCTCTTCCCCTGGCCCCCAGCGTGTTGGCTGCCACCGTTTCACCTGCCCCTCCCTCCTTCTCTGTCCCATCCCCTCATATCCTCCAGGCTTTGGAGGCCTGAGTCACCTTTGTGTATCTCGTGCTGCTCAGTATACTGTTGTGCTCAATAAACTTTTTCCTCTTCCACCGGGTCCCAGTGCCGAGTGACTTGTCCCGCTTGTCGGAGGTGTGGCCTTGAGCCCACGTTCTGACCCAACTGAGGCCTCGGCCCTCTGGGGTGTCCTGAGGGTGGAGATGGGCCCGTCCCCATCTCATCTTTCCTTCTTGACCTTCTGCCAGCTGTCTGTTGAGGTAGCAGTGAGCCGATGAACAATTCCTGAGCTTGGTGACATGCAGATGTCCCGTGTTCGGCTCTTTCCTATGTGGGGCGGGGGGAATCCCCTTGATTTCGTGTTGCGGCGGCTCCGTCCCCTTTTTTCCAGGCCTCAGCCCCTTTGTAAGAAATGATGGCCCTTTTCACCAGTGGGGAGACTGCTGACGCATCATTCTTCTGGAAGCTGGTCCGCAGGGTCGTTTGGCCTTGCTTGGAGAACATGAGAGTCAGGAAGAGAGGCTGGGAGGCTGGGAGGCGGGGCCCGTGGGACAGTGTCTGACCAGTGCTTCCTTAGATGGGTGGGGTGGGGCACAAGGGTGAGGTGGGGGGCTGTGTGTGGTTGGGACGCTGTCCTGGGGGACAGGAAGCCCACAGTGGGGGCCAGTGGGGGCCTGTCGGTGCGGGAAGCTGGGCTGAGTGCCTGGGGCCTGCCCACAGATCAGTAAGCCTCCCGGTCACAGGGCCCCCATGTCCAGAGCCCTAATTGATTTGATCTAAGAAGAGCAGGTTTTTATAGCTTTTTGATGGTGGACTTAGGGAAGAAACCCTTGAAACCAGATTTTACCACACAAATTCCAGAATTTGATGCTCATGAATGAAAAATAGGGTTCTAATCCAGCGGATGGCTGTGTGGACGAGACGCCTCCTGCCTTCCTGTGTCCCATGGGCATGCCACATTAAGAGGGTCAGGTGTGCCCACCACACCGCCTCCCCTGCAAAGAGGCCTGACACTGTCCTCCTGGGGCCTCAGCTGGCCCGCTGCTCCCATGTTTTCCGTGGCCCTCACTTGCCAAGGCCCTCACGTGAGCCCTGGAGCCATTCTCTGGACAGGGAGGCACATCAACTCTCCAGTTGATTTACTGAGTCCTCTTCTTGTCTCAGAGCAGAAGGCCTTGGCACCTGCTGCCCTCCCTGGGGCCGTTGGTCCAGGAACCAGGCTCTGCCTGGGGAGGGCAGGCAGGCCTGTGGGAGGGAGCAGGATTCTCCACGGGCTGTGAGCGCTAGTGTGGGGGGAGGAGCTGCTCGGTCCCCCAACGGCATGGCAGCCCCGCCAGAAGGACGCCTGGGTCGGCCATACTCAGCAGCCCCAAATCAAATGCGTAGCCGACATGTACACGGTGTCCTGGAAGCAGGTGGGTCAGCGGCCTGCGGTGGATCCCAGGGCGCCATCACTCCTGGCTAGACCGTGGCGGCTTTCTTCCTTCGCCGGCAGACCCCCATGCCCATTACTCTGCGCAGGCCTCCACAGGGCTCCACTCTGGTGTGCCATTGTGTGGAGGTGCCCCACCCCTGTGCCTGGGTGGGCGTGTCCACCTCCCCTGGCCGGGGCTGCAATGGCCACTGAGACGGCTGTGGTTTGAGCCAACTCTGAAGGCTCACCAGTGGGCGATGAGGGTCCCAGCCCTCAGAAAGGCCCCCGGCCCCTGTAGGAGGAACCAGGGTGGCGCAGGTGTGGGGGAGCACTTCCAATGGTCTGTTCTGTAGACAGCCGGGTCTCTGGGAACCACCGCCACAGGGTGAGGCCTCCTTGGTAGTCAGCAACCACTGGGAAGCTCTGGGGGCACCTTGCAGTGGAAAACGAGGCTCCATTCCATGCGCCTCTGACCTGGGTGGTCGTCCCTGACCCCCAGTCCTGCACATCTGCCCAGGGAGGAGCAGGCGTTGACATGAGGGTGGGCCCTGGCCGCAGAGACCCGTGTCTCGGGTCTTTCAGAGGTCGGACTGTCGGCCTAAGGACCATTCCATGGAGGAGAATCTGTGTCAGGTCACTCTCATGGGACGGTTTCTAAAATGAGAAAAGGATGAACTTTTCCTCAGATGTTTTTGGAGCTGGAGGAAAGAGGCCCCTGCAGCATCACCTCACCTCAGTAAACAAAGGGAGCTCACCGAGATACAAACAGAACTGACACTGGGCTTAGGCCAGGGTGGTAACAGTTCAGGGAGAGAGGCTGCAGGTGGCAGAGGGGTTCCCTGACAGGCCGTACACGCTGATCTGGTTGTGGTTGGAGACAGGCCCCACATGCTTCCAAGCCCCCTTACCTGTGGCCTGGCCCTGGCTGAGGTGTGGAGCCGCTGCTTCCTCGTCTGAGACTCACACCGTGTTTGGTTCTTTGTAGGATGAGACAGGTGCCTATTTAATCGACAGAGACCCCACCTACTTTGGGCCTGTGCTGAACTACCTGAGGCACGGAAAGCTGGTCATTAACAAAGACCTCGCAGAGGAAGGTGAGTTGGGGGCAGGGCCCCAGAGCCCTGCGAGGAGCAGGCCCTGCGGGCTGGGGTCAGGCCAGGCTAGGGGCTGGGGCTGGGCTGCAGAAGTCCTAGGTGCCAGGTGCCTCAGTTGCTCCCCAGCTTCCTCACAGACATGTCCCACGAGGCAGCTGACACTTGTCTCAGTGGTGGGTGGGCTGCTCCTCCAGGAAGCAAAGACTCTTCAGAGCCAGGCCGGCCCGTCAGGACCGCTGTAGCAGAAGGGCCTGAGGACTTCAACCCAGGCCCCTGTACCCCCTATTCCCTGGCCTTGGGGTCCCCCCGGCTGTGAGCTGCTCCACTGACTCCCTCCTTCAAGGGTCTAGTTAGTGATGCCATGGGGATGGGGGCTTCTCCCTTGGGAGACTGCCCATTCTCACAGTTGCTTAGGTGAGGAGATCTGAGGGCCCCTGTGTTAGATGTACCTGCCGTGTGAGTCTGCCGGGTGTCCTTCAGAGCCTTGGTCACCCCGGGTCTGCTCTCCCTCCAGGGCACCACCGTACCATCACCTCTGAGTTCTATTTCCAGACACCATGCTGCATTCTGACTCTGGTCACAGCAAGCAGGAACGCCAGGCCAGCTGTGGGGCATCAGGCCCGAGGCTGGTGTGGCTACGTGTTCTGGTGTTGGCGTGGCTCGAAGTATCCGGGAGGTTCTGAGAGGTTCAGGATGCTTTCACTCAAAGTGGTCTCTGGCTCCTCCGGCTTCGATCATGTTCCTGTAAGGACCGCCTGTACAGGACTGTGCTCACTCCTTCAGCTCCTTTCTAGACCTCCGGACCCGAGTGTCTGTGTCTCCTTTGCAGCAGCCTTCTTTCCTGCACACACTCTTGTTGTTTGGGGAAGTTCCTTTGTATTCTGGGTGTGCAGCTGTACAGCTCTATGCTAAACTTCATTTCATAGCCTGTTCTCAATGTGGTGTTCTTAGAAAGGGATACTCGACACAGACTGAGCCCCACGGCCTGGCCCCACTCCCCTGCCTTCCTACCTGCCTCAGACACAGCGCTTTCAGGAGAAACGGCCGCTCGGACTCCATTCCTGCTTCTGCCCTCAGAGAGTAGCATGGAGTGTCCAGGTGGAAGGAAGAAAATGTGCCCTTCAGACCCATGCCCTTGTCCTAAAGCTTCTGGTGCTTATTCACAGCACCCCTCCGTCCCCAGCCATGGATTTGTAGAGTTGTCAGGACATAGCCGACGTCGTCCTGAGAAGTGACGTTCTAGGTGCAGCCTCCCTTTAGGTGGCAGTGACGGAAGACGTGCTGCCTGCAGGCTACCGCCCACCCGCATCCCCACCCTCTGCCTGAGTCTCCTGGGGACCTTGTTAGGAGGCAGCCCAAGTGGGTCTGGTGGCCAGTCCCTGGCTCTGAGCTCCTGGTGCTGCCAGCATGTGGGGTGAGGTCTGACCAGCACGACCCAACATGGCAACAGGAGGCACACTCCAAACCTTCTGGAACACTCACGTGGAATCCATGACACAGAGCCCTTCCAGTTTGTTCTTTAGAATTTCCTGGAGGTTTAGAGTCTCTAAATGTGGCACATTATACATGGTAGTCTTTGGAAGGAAAAGAGTTTGTAAATTGACAAGAGTCCTAGAGCTGGGAGCTGCCCTCTCAACCAGCCATGAAAGACACTCTGAACCAGTCTTCTGATTGAATAGGGAAACTGAGGTGCTGAGTGACTCAGAGACCTGCACAAGGCCGCCTGGTCCCCCTGGTGTGAGGGCAGGAAGAGTCCACTGGCCCAGGGCAGACAGCTGCAGGTTGTGGAGGGAAGATGCCCGAGTTACATCCTGGCATGCCCAGTGTGGAGCTGCACGTGAACCAGCTGTTCTGCGCTTGAACTCTGCACCCAGCAGGTCACCTGGAGTGACACGTGCCGGGAGTGTGTTCTATAAATGCGCCCTCTGCCCCCAATCCTGGGAGCCCTGCTGAGAGCCCGTGCCATCTGCACGAAGTCTGTTGGGATTTTAGGACGGGGCCTGAGGAGCTTCCAGTGGGCTGGGCATGGGCCAGACATGGGCCTTGGATCCAGAGCTGGGCAGGGGTGAGACGTTTCTTCCTGGGTTTGGTCTGATCTGGTGAAAATTAGTTATTTTTCTCTATTCTAGGAGTGTTGGAAGAAGCGGAGTTTTACAACATCACCTCACTAATAAAACTTGTAAAGGACAAAATTAGAGAGCGAGACAGCAAAACATCACAGGTGAGACCAGCGACTAATGTGCTGGAAGCTTCCGAGGCCTGGTGTGCAGGTGCGGCTCACCCCCTCTGTCCCCACTGACCGTGGGCGGCTCCAAGCGAGGCCTTGGGATTGGGGCTGTCCCCACCTTGACGACTGTCTTCCTCTGTAATTGCCCTAGCGCCCAATGGCCCACCCTCTAGCCACCTCCTGTGGTGCTGCCAGCTGGCACCAGGGCCACATGCAGGGCACGTTACCCAGCTCTGCCTGGCGTGTCCCTAGGGAGCCCCACTCAGTGGGAAGGGACCCAAGGAGGAAAGGAAGTCCAGGGGGTGAGGGGGTTGAGGGAGAGCAGGGAGGCCAGCGATGGGAGCGAGCGTGTGGACGCCCGGGCAGGGCGTTGCAGCTGGGCGCAAGTGCAGAGGGCCAGCGCGGCCAGAGAGAGCAAGGGGGGAGCTGGCGGTGAGCTTGGAGGTGGGGTCCTGCAGGGCTGTGTGGGCATGATGAGGAAAGAGGGGTGCGGTCGGGGCTCTTCGTCCCGGTGTGCTGATGCCCACGCAGGACCCATTTGTGCTTGGCTGCGGTCGGTAGTGATGGAGCCAGCACAGCCGCTCTGCTGCCCCCTAGGCCACGTTGTTTGAAGTCAGCTGCATCAGACACCTTCCATAAAGGGAGGCGCCAGAGGGTCTAAGGCATGAGTTTTTGTCGCCACACCAGCTCTGTACTTGCTAGCAGAGTGGCAAGCTCTTGCCCAGTGAGTTGAGCTCCTCCAGGAGGATGCCAGGAAGTGGATGCTCCCTCAGAGCTGCCACTATTATCTGAGGGTCTCGGTCACCACCACCTCCCCCCATAATGGGCTCTCCCGCTGGGTGCCCAGCAGACCTTGAGCTGGAGCTCTCGGCCTTTGTGAAGAGGCTTGCTGACAGCCTGGCCACTCACTGGTCAGGGGCCAAGATAGGGGAGGGGCATGCCCCCGTGATGGTGTGGGAGGCCGGGACCACTGGCCCACGCAGCCCCCAGCCCTTTCCCTCCTGTGGGAGCCGCTCGGGCACCAGGACAGTTGGGAGGAGACTGGGGAGGGGCAGGAGACGTGTCCACGAGCCCCCTGGTCATCTCCAGCTGGTTGGCTTTTTCTTTCCCCTCCGTCCAGCAGCCCCACTTACACACTGTGTCACCTGAGCGGGCACTGACCCTCTGCCTCGGTCTCCCCTCTGCGTGGTGGAAGTGGAAGAGACCCTCCTCACGGGGCCGACGTGAGGATTAGCGAGCTGAGGCCGGGGAGCCGTGTCAGTCCGGTCTTGCAGATGAAAACTCGTGTGTGTGACAACAACCAATGTACTTTAGTTGTGACCCTGTCACTTGAGTGTCACCTGTCTGGAGCTCCCAAGGCCCCTTCCCCTGCACACATCTTTGTCTTGTTCCCCCGGTTACTCGTGTGTCATGGCCGCCGCCTCCAGGTGGAGTAGCTGCTCCATGAGGCCGACCCTGTCTGGCTGCCCCTGAGGTGCCAGCACCAGACACGTGCCTAGAAGGGAACCCAGTGCACGGCAGTAGGTGGGTAAGCAGAAAATAAATTAATTTTTTGGAAGCTAGTTCAGCCCAAGGGAGTGTGTGTCTGACTGCTGTGCGTGTCTAAGAGCTTTTCTAGGAGCAGGGCCGGGGCTGGTGAATCCAGGTATTTTGTATGCTTTGTGTACTTTCCCTGGAGAACAGAGAGGGACATCCTCAAGCATTTGTGTCTAGCCACAGGTGCTCTTAGGGTTTCAGGAACATGACTCGTTGCATTTTGGAATTTAGAAATGGAAATATTTTTGAGGCAGACGAGGAAGCAGAACACGGCAGCGGTTCCAGCCTGTTTTCCTCTGGTGGGTGCGTTTGGGGTCGCTTTGGGCATTACAACCTGAGCCCAAGAGGTGGAAGGAAACATCAGCCTCACCTGGGGCCCCTGTTGGGCTGTCCCCAGAACCGGCTGTGGGGCAGGGGCGCTGGGCCAGGGCGCAGGAACAGCGGGGTGCATGGGGCTGTCTCACCTGTGGCCCTTGTTCTCACAGGTGCCGGTGAAGCACGTGTATCGTGTGCTTCAGTGTCAGGAAGAGGAGCTCACGCAGATGGTGTCCACTATGTCTGACGGCTGGAAGTTTGAGCAGGTGAAGCCCCTTCCGGGCTAGGTTGACGTGAGCCTGTGGGCCAGTGGTGCAGCGGAACTTCTCATTACAAAGGCCCTGTCCGGGTCCTCAGGGCTGCTGACTCCAAGGACCAGTCATGGGGCGGTGGGCAGCCTGTGATTCCTGGAAACGTCGTTCCAGGTGGCTTTCGTCCTCTGGCACCTCACAGCAGCAGCAGCCTGCACCCGTCCTAATTGGATGGGTGTCGGGCATGTGGGTGGGGAGAGTGGAGTAGTTCTTCGAGCCCCCAGGGACCCCCTACCCGCTGCTTCCTTCCTGGTCTTCTCTCTGCAGTTTGTCTTCTTGCTCCAGCCCATTCCTTTGGGGGGACTGTGCTCTCTGCTTCCATCTGATATGTATGCGTGTGGGCTGACATCCTGAGTGTGTCATGGCCTGGCCTCACCTGGTGTCCACCCGGGCCCTCCTGGGCTGACTGAGCAAGTGGTGGCTCGGGCTCCTTGTGCTGCGGTTGACATGAATGGCCTCCTGGTGGGGCTGCTCTGCAGCCCTCCAGCCCCCTCTCCCGCCCTTGATGGGAAAGATGCTGCCAATTCTGGCCCGACTGTGCCCCTCCACCTTCCTCAGCTCTGCTCTTGCCGATGTGCATCAGGCTGGGACTGACATGAGACTGGGTGAATGATGAGTCCTCTCCTGCTTTCCTTCCAGGGAGCTCTGGTGTTTCTGTGTGCATGCTGGCTCTCGTCCTTTGGAGCTGTGGTCTGTTACCCCGCACCTCGGAGCGTGTGGATGCTCTGAGTTGGTGGCCTTTCTCACGAGCTCCTGTTGCAGCTCCTGTTTTGTAGGCAGAGACTCTGGGGTTCAGTCTTGTGACCCTGCCCGGGCCCCAGCCCCAGGTAGCGACGGCCCTGCTCGCCGGGCCCTCTCTTATCTCTGGGAGTTTCCCCTGTTGCTAGCTCCTTGAAATAATGGATCGCATTGTAGAGTGCTTAGAGTTCCCTTAAAATGTCACTAAAGCCAGGTGCCGTCAGCATTTGCATCCCACCCTTCACCTGGGACCAGCCCCCCAGGCTGGTGGAGCGGCAGGGTGGTTGGCTGGTCCCTGCAGTGTGTCCCACCCTGCCCTCACACGGGGAGGCCAGGCGGGATCCCGTGGTCTGCATTGGCCTATTCCTCGTGCTCTGACCCCGTCAAAATCACGCCAGAGACCCACGCAGGAGCAGAAATCTCCCACTTCCCCTCCTATTGTCCTCGCTGTGCAGCTTGGAGAAGGGCTGGGGAGATGGGAGCTGTGGTCGCGGGGTCAGGACCCGGGGACGAGGTCACCCTCTCGTGGAGTTAGGCACCTCTGTGCTCTCCTGCTGGGAGGGAGAGAGAGTCTCCTTCCTCTTGCACAGTGTCTTCCTCCCATGACCAGCTTGGGTGCTTTGGCCTTAGCTCCTCTGGGTGGACCCCAAATCCGTTGCAAAGAGCGGGTTCCTCTCTTCTCCCCAAGTCTTACCTACTCTGCTCAGCCTGTCCCTCGAAGATATCCTCCCAGTTCATGCCAGCAAAACCCCAGCCCCAGAGTCCTGTCTGTTGAATGAGGAGCTCTTTGCTGCTCAGAGCAGGAGCTAGAACTGCTGTAGGGCGGTGGGGTGGAAGCCCAGGGCCCCGCATGGTGGTGGGACTGAACCCAGGGCCGCCCAGCAGTCAGTGACAAGGCCAAAACAAGGCTCCGAGCGAGGTCCGGAAGAGGCTTGCGTGCCTCGTGAGAATGCGGTCTCCGGGCACCGGGCACTGCCGCCCCAGCCTCCCTCCTACGTGCACAGATTCCTGCGTAGGGAGGGCAAGGGGCCTTCCAGGTGTTTGCTGGCTCAATAATTAGGCCATGGATAGCCTTACTACCATTTTTTTGTTTTCTTTTGACTAATTTTACATTTAAAAGCACAGAAGTTCTTGGTAGCTCTGAGGGAGGTTAGAGCAGACTGGTCAGCCCTCAGCCGCCATGTGCCCATGGTGGTATGGGTGTGTCCACCCAGTTACAGTGGACCCACACAGACTGAGACTGACGCATGCAGAAGCCACAGCTTCCCAGGGCCCATCTCTGAGATTCGGGCCGCTCAACCCTCGGCTCCTCTCTGCAGCCCATTAGAGCTTGCGCAGCCTTCCTCTGCCCGCCTTCCTTCCCACCACCAGGGCATGTGCCCTTCTCGCTTCATGGCCTCAGTGGGTGGGAGGGTCAGTCTTGGCTTCTCCTGGGAAGGCCTGGTGGCCACAGCGACAACAAGCAGAATGTCTGGGAGCTCATCCTCATGTTCATGTGTGTGAGCTCACACCCGCGTGTGCTCTGGGCCTGTGCGAAGGGAGCAGCTCTAGTGCCAAACACCGTGATTCTGCTGCCTGCTCTGAGGGGACCAGCTCTGAGCAAGCCACCACTGCCCTGTGCCCCTGTCTGCACCCTGCTCCGGTGCTCTACTCCCTCTGCATGTGGTCAGTCAGCGTCTCCTGTGGGCCCGGCAGAGAAGGCCTGTCCCGGACGCACGTGGTATGCTTGCGTGGTGGGGTGTGTGTGCATATGTGCCGGAGGATGGATATTTTGGGACCTTATTTTTCCATATTTCACCAAAAATCTCTTGGCTGAAACCTGTCCCTCAATTTCCCCAGTATTGGTTATCCTAGCTGTGGGTTTTTGCAGGCTGGAGTTTCCCTCCTGGTGGGCGGGCTGGTCCCAAGCTCTGCCCACATCACACTGACCTTCTTTCCTCCCAGCTGGTCAGCATTGGCTCTTCCTACAACTACGGGAGTGAAGACCAGGCCGAGTTCCTCTGTGTGGTTTCCAAGGAGCTGCACAATTCCCCATACGGCATGACCAGTGAGCCCAGCGAGAAAGCCAAGGTGGGTGACTGCTGGCGGGCAGCAGCCCCAGACGCTCCAGCCTCCTGCCAGCGGAAGGGGCTTGTGAAGGCACAGGCGCCTTTGCAGGGTTGGGATTTTCCTCCTCAGAGCTTTGTCGTTTCCTGTGGTTCTTGCTGCCCTCCCAGCCCTGCAGGCTTCTTGGAGGCTTGCTCACCTCGTGCTTCTTATCTGTCGTCATGTCATTCTTGCCTGATGTATCAGAAGCAAAGTCCTGGAATGGAGGACACGTAGGTCCCACGGGACGTGGTGGAGCGAGGGTTCTTAGAACACAGAGGCTCCCCGTGGGCGAGCCCCTGCAGCTCCTGCAGCCCATGCCCTCTGCCGACACCTCCTCTAACGGGCAGCTTCTCCTGGAAGTGTTGTCTTCTGGACCTGCTGGCAGGGACTACGCTTTTAAGTGGTGCCACTGTGGGTTGTTTTCCTGGGGATGTGGGACATTGAGGCTGGAGGGCAGGGCCCACTGAATGGCACCTGCCTCAACCACGTCCATCCTGGTCTTAGGAGTCGTGTTTGGTTTGTAAAAGGAGTGGATCCTGCAAGTCCTGTGATTTTTAGACTCCATGGAGTGTTGCCTTGGCTGGCACCAGCCAGTCCCTGTGTGAACTAGCACCGGCTCCCTGTGGGGTGTCTGGCTCTTCTGTCTCCGAGGAGGGCGAGTGCAGCCAGGCTGAAAACCAGGAGTGGCCGTGTCATTTGCTTTTGTGTTAGTCCTGTGGCAGGGAGCAGCAGCTGCCTTGCCCAGAGGTGACAGATTCTAGTGGCGTCTCCTCTAGGCCCGTTCCTGTGCTCAGCCACTCCAGCTGCTTCTGTCCTTGCAGAGTCCAGCATTGGCCTGGGCTGGCTCCACCTGGCAGGCCTCCCAGATCTTCAAGCCAGGCAGTGACCCAGACAACCCTGCAGCCAGCTCTGGGGAGTCTGCAGGGCCTTAGCAGAGCCAGGGCGGTGGAGGTGGGACTGGCGTCCAGCCTGTGAGCCCCAGGTCTACAGGCAGCCCTGGTGAAGACTCAGGGCATTACCTGCCAAATGGCGTTCTGAGCAGTGCAGGAAAGGCCAGAGCCAGAAGGATTTTAACTCATGGCATTAAACCGGGACTCCCTGGGCTTCCTCAGACTCTTGGCCTGGATGGTCTCTGACTGGCCGCCACTTGCCCAGAACCGCCCCTGTCAGCCTTTCAGCGTCTTCTTTGGAGGTGTGGGCTTGGGAACAGAGAAGCCACTGTGCCCACTGCCCTCCCGAGGTGGCTGTCCTCCACTGGGGCTCGTGGCAGCTTTTTCACCACAGCGTGAGGAAACCCTGTGTCTTCACGGCTAGGCGATTGTCCAGGCCCTGGGGCCTCCAGAGTCCTCACGTCTCCGCTCTGGCCTTCTGTGGTGCCTGCAGCTGCGTGTGTGTGGTCCCGGCTGTCTCGCAGGGGACGGGACAGCATGGGGTCAGTGCAGGTCCCGTGGTGCTCGGCAGCAGGCAGGCACGCAGGGAGGAAGAAGACCCGGGGACGTGCTTCCTGTCGAGTCTGGGGTGGAAGGCAACCGCTTCCCGAGAGCCCGCGGCCCTCTGAGGAGGCATCTCGCTGCTTGGCGTCAGGGCCCTTCTGTGAGCTGTTTATTTTTAGAAGCTTTTATTTCTGAACTTGAAAAGTTTTTGTAGCCAAGCTCATCAGGGCAGCTGCCCGAGCTCGTTTCCCTCGGGTGGCTTTTCAGCTGCAGAAAGGACGCCTCTGTGCTATGAGGGAGCTCCAGGCGTGACCCCAGATCTCTTTGCTGTTGAAACGCAGCCCTGTTTCTCTCTCCAAAAATACCTGCTTCTGCAGTGTGGCAGCCAGGGCGACTTCTAAATGGGGGCAGTGGCAGGAGCTCCTTGGGAGGCGGAGCACAGTTGAGGTCTCCGGAAAGCCATGGAAAACCATTGGGGCCAGACTGGGGACAGTGATTTGGGGCCATCCGTGGGCAGCGTGGTAGGAGCAGCATTCCACGCCCTAAGGGCAGCGAGTATCACTGCCTGTGGACCTGCTCACTGGGTACCCCGCAGCACATGTTAGCTCCTGGCACTAACAGGCCAGCCTCCAGTCTCAGGGTGTCTAAGGGTGGAAGTAGCTGGAGAGAGTGGGCAGGGGTGGGGCAACTCAGCAAGGGCAACAGTCCACACAAGAGCACCCCATGTTCACCACCAGCTGCAAGTTCAGAGGCTCCTGGAACCACTCTCTGATTCTGTCATTTGCTGGAAGGGCTCACAGAACTCCCTGACTGCTGTGATGTTCGTGGTTACAGTTTATTACAGGAAGGATGGAGAGGGAGGGTTCAGATCTGCCAGGCAGAGTGTGTGGGGCGGAGGCCAGCAGATGTGCCAGACCCGGAGCTCCTTTGCTCTCCCCGTGGAGTCAGGACACGTGGCAACACGCACGGAGCACTGCCTGCCAGGGGTGCTCCCCTGGCCTCCGGGTCCAGAGAGTTTACTGGGCTCGGTCACATAGACATGACTGATCCATCGATTGATTGATGATTGATCACCCACATGCCTGATTGCAGTCTCCAGGCCCCCTGGCCAACTGACCCCACCCCCCCCATCCAATTGTTAGACTGTCCGGTGTGGCCTGGAGGTCATGACCTCCCAGGAGTTAAGGGCAAAGGCCAGACCTGTTTGGACAAGATTCAGTTCTTCACTACACAGAGGAAAGGAAAACTCTGGAACTTTGGGACAGTGGGATGCAAGGAGACACCCAAGCCCCACGTTTTTCCTCCATGGTGTGATCTGGGCATGCGGGTTTGGGGCCCAGGGCCCCTGAGATGTGGCTGGTCTGTGCTTCGCTACTCAGCACAGTGGGAGCTCGTGGCCCCAAGCGCCCGTGCTCACCACGGCCTCTCTGGGTGGGCTTCCCCCTGCCGCCTCCCATCTCGCCCCGCACTGACCGTGACCTCTCTTCTTCTCCTCCCCTGCCGCATGCTGCGTGCCGAGCCAGAGTGACAACGAGGAGACGGGTCACGATGAGAATGACTCAGATTAAGTGTAAATGTCATGGTGAGCTCTGCCGCCCTTGAAATTGACCACGCATGGTAGTCTCTGTGACCCCAGCCCCTCCTCCGTGGTGTCTGTCCCCTGCCTGTAGTTGACAGAGAACCTTCCACACTAGATGCTGACTGTAGATCTGCAGTGGAGCCAGCCTGTCTGGGATGGGGCTGTCTGTTTGTGCCCGTTAGGATGCCCATGTGAGTGGGACTCTGGACCTTGGCTGGGGTGCCTGAGAGCCCTGTGTGTCAGCCCTCGGAAGAGCCTCCTCAGTGTGGATGTCAGCGGGCAAAGACGTGGGTCTGCACCTCCTGGGGGCTGGGCAGCCCCCAGCCCCTAGCCTGCAGCCTTCTTATCCTGTCGCCGGACCATGGGCTTAGGGCTGTGGAGTCGGGCTGTGCCGCAGAGGGTGGGCCCCGATCTCGACACCGTGCCCGCAGCACCCCTGCTCCCCCGTGCCTCAGGCGAGGGGTGCAGGTGGAGAGGAATCTTGTTTCCCTTGTGGTGGGAGACTCCATGAATGCCCCCTGGGCCCCCAGCTGCTCCTCCGGTCCCTGCCTCCTCCCAGCTTCTTCTCATTGCCCGAGACTCGCAGGCCCAGCCGATTCCAGAGCCCGACGGCATTCTCCGTGGGCGGGGACCCCCTGGTCTGCTCCCTCATCTTGCACACGGATAGTCAAGGCCCAGAGAGAGCATCATCCAGAGGGTACCCCTGCTCCTGCTACAGCCTCCCTGTCGTGGGCCGAGCCGTACAGGTTGGGGCCCCTCAGCCTCTGCCCTGGGAGGAGCTCGGAAAAGGCATGTGACCAGCCAAACCCCGAAAGGCTGACCATCCAGCCGTGAGAGGTCTAAACCAGGGGTCAAAAACTAAGAACGGCTTTTACATTTTTAGTATGGGTTTTGTTTTTTTTTTATTGGTGATTATGTAAGTATGTAACATCCTCAGTTTTGTCTCTTGACCCACAAATCCTAAAGTATTTACTATCTGGCTGTTTAAGGAGAAGTTGGCTGTGCCATGGTCTGGACCAGCGCTGTCCAGGGGACATGCGGCGCCAGCTCCCTCTGTCCTTCTGGACTTTCTAGTAGCTACGTTAAGAAAGTTAAAAGAAACATGAAATTCATGCCAATATTAATAACCCAAATAAGCAAAATATTGTCATTTCAATCTAAAAAAATCATTGAGGTATTTTGCTTTTCTCCCTCAAGGTCTCTGGAATCAGGCGTGCAGTTCACACTTGCGGCCCATCTCAGTTTGGAGTGCCCGCACCTTAGGGGCTCAGCTACCATATGGGCCGCAGGCAGCAGGCTCCCAAGTTTGGCCTGATGGTGACCTGTGACAGGAACTCCGGCAGCCGCTGGGCCCCACTCCGGGAGTGGGGAGGGGCTTCTTTAAACCTCCACCCCCCACTCCCCAGTTACTGATTTTGCCTCTTCCAGCAGGAGCTGCTTTGGGCCCTAACTCAGGGGTCTGGGCTGTGGGGGAGCGTGTGAGGGCTGATCACGGGGCCCCCACCCCACCATCGCAGGGTCAGGCAGCATTGGCCCGTCGGGGCGCTGGCGGCAGTGCTCGGCCTGCCTGGTGCCCTCGGGAGGCAGCCTGGAGTGAGAGCTCCGTCCAGGGCAGACGGGGCCGTGACTGTCACGGGTCCTAGGAGCGTCTTCTGTCCTCGTTAGGAGATAGTTGTTGGGGCTCTGGTGGGGTGGCCCCTCCCGTGTTGTCATCTGGCCCCTGGGCCACATTCCAGTTGTGTGGCCTTGTCGTTTCCACCGCTTTCCTGTGAACTTAGACACTCCCTCTGCTCTCACTGCCACAGAGTGGGGGGCAGCTCTGTGCTTCACCAGTCCCACACGCCCCAGCTTTCCTTGCACACAGCAAAGGTACCAGGGCCGGCAGACCCTCCTGGGGCAGGAACCAGTGCCTTGGGGGCAGGAGAGACCTGCAAGGGCTAAGCAAGAACACGCTGTTACCCAGTCACCTCCTCAGACCACATCCCTTTGACAGGGGCCTCCCAGGCTTTCCCAGTGAGCTGTTGAATCCTACTGAACCTAGAGGCATGCCCTTGTCAGGCCTAACGAGGGGCATTCAGTCTGGGGTGCTGCTCCCCCAGCACAGCAAAAGGTACGCCTTGCGGGGACTGGAACACAGGCCTAGGCAGTGGGCAGGGTGGCAGAACAGGAGAGCGTGCTCAGAGACTTGGGGGAGACGGGCCTGGGGACGCGCAGAGCTGTGTGGGGCATCGGGACAGGCTGGAGTGACTCTGTGCCATCTCTTGAGTCATTTGGAACAAGCCCTTGGTGAATGTGAGTGGCTGGCCGCCCCCCCCCCCCGGCTGCACTGCCAGTGAGCAGGAGATCGGGGGTCAGCAGGTGCTCACTGTGAGCTGAGAACTTCACCCGCCATTGCATGGCCTCTCCGGGAGGCCGTGAACCTTCTCTGGCTGAGCGTCCAAGTGGGCCTGGGCCTGGTGTGAGCAGGGCTGGCCCCTCCCAGGGCACATGCCCGTGTTGCACTCGGGTCTGGGGCTCAGACACAATGTCCTCAGAGCTGTATGTCTGCCAGCGCTGAAATTCAAGGGGAAATGCCCCCGGGAGGCTAGCTCTTACACTGCTGGGGGATTGTGGGGAGGGTCCCCTTACAGCACTGGCCTTGGCTGGGTTGGGACAGGCTGGGACTCATGCCATTTCCGTTCTGGTTACCTGGTACTTAGCAGCCATACTCGATGTATCAGAACAGCAAGATCTGCCAGCTCTGACGCCCCCACCTGAGGCCACAGGGTGGTTCCATCATCTGCCTGGCCCACGTGGGGCTCGACTCTGCAGGCATTTGCCAGCGCGCAGGCCTGTCCACAGGTGGCTCCGAGCCTGGAGGTGCTCCTAGCCCAACGTAGGGGTGGATGGGATACACAGATGATTCCAGTGGTGAGGGAGGCTGGGGGCTGCTCTGCCCCTGAGATACCAAGAATGACTGGGAGGGAGAGGGATGGGCATGGTGGCCAAGGTGTGGCGGGCTCTGCAGGGCTGGCAGGGTTGCCCAGTGGAGTCGGGTGCATGTTCCAGAGTCTCATCTGGCTGCAGTGAGGAGGGGCTGGCACCCTCGAGGTGGGTGTTCCAGTCACAAGGAGGCCAGTGTACTTACTGTGCAGCAAGACGTGAGCCCAGCCGGGCAGTGTGCAAGGCCGACTGGTGGGCGTGGATGTGGGGGTGATGGGCGGTCCCGGGGGCCCAGGCTTCTGGGTTGTGTGACTGGGTACAGGGTGGAGGGGACGTAGTTTGCAATGAGGCATGGAAGAAGGAAGAGGGGCAGGTCATGGTGGGGACTGCTGAGACCCTGGGGGCCTCTGGTTGTACACACGTGTCTGCGGCCCAGGATCGAGGTAGGCTGGAGAGAGACTCAAGGGTTGGTGCCTGTCGGGTGGGCTCTGGTGCCCTCGGATGGAGCGCAGGGCAGCCATCAGGGGAGGTACTGCCAGGGGTCCATGGGGCCTTGAGAAGGAGCCATCCTCCCTTGAGCCATGCCCATGTGTCTCAGGCATCCCAGAGGAAGCCCAGGGAGGTCCCAAGTGAGGACAGGCCTGCTGCTGTGGTGGGAGGTGGGGTGGAGGTGTCTGTCGGACATCAGGCTGGGGTGGAGAGCAGGGAGAGTTGCTGGGGCCGGCCCCTCGTGTGGGGCCTGGAGGTGTGCGAGCCAATCCCCCACAGTGAGCGTCTCCGGGCCGCAGCCTGTTCTCGGACCCTGGCTCACAGTGCAGGCTTCCTCAGGCCCCTGAGCTGTGCCATCTGTAGGGCAACACTGGGTCTGCGGGCTCTGCTCCCCGGAGTAGGGCGCTGGCTACAGGCTGCCTCCCCGTCCAAGGCCCAAGTCCTCATTCTCTGTGTTTGGTGTTTTCAGATTTTGCAAGAACGGGGTTCCAGGATGTGAGGAACGCAGTGTTGACTGCTGAAGGAAGAAACGTTTTACCTTTTCGTAAGATGCAACGAACTGCCATGTCGAGGAAGCTTGGCCGTGAGAAGAAACCTGCTTTTGACAATTTCTCGAGATCTGGGTTTGAATCCTTTTTTGCCTCTGAGGTGGGTGGTGAGAGACAGGACCAGCTGTCCGAGGCTTGGTGTCCGCACTCGGAGGAGGCGTGCTGGCCAGGTGGGCGTCCCCGTGGGGCCTCTGCTTGGTTTTTCCAAGTGCCACGTGGGCCTGAGGCAGGACGCTTCTGACCACCCCTCTAATCACCGAAGATCATTTCAAGGACAGCGTTCTTGGTGCTACAGAAACAGTCTGTAATGGAGCCTGGGCCTTGCTGGTGGGAAGTGGCCGCGGTGCTGGGGCCCCGGGCACCAGGTACTGCTGGTCACCTGCACGCGCACCAGGCCGTGGTCCTCGGGTCAGGGAGTCTGCTTTGCCTCCTGGCATGATCTGTCGGCAGTCTCTCGAAGCCTCGGTGGGCGGCTCCTGGCAGAGGCGGCCTCTGCGTTCACTACTGCCCGGGCCTCCGCCCCGAGGCTGGGCCTCCTTCAGGGCCAGGCTCCCCCGTCGGGAACAGTCAAGGCTCCTCCATTTGTGTTTTCCAGGCAAGAGACCTTGCACCCGTCTTTTCCAGTGTGGAGACTACCCAATGTTTTTACATTTTAGAAATGTGGCTGCATTGTGGATTGATCTGTTAAGTATTTAAAAGGAGGTACAAGTTTTATCTCATCTGTCCCACCCACGGGCTCGTGGGGGAGCTGGCGCCCTCAGTGCCTTTGTCTCGCCTGGGACAGCAAGGGGCAGGAGGCCTGTCCACTGGCTCCTGGAGCTGCAACTCCGGGTCCTACTGAAACTGGGATGTTTACAGGGCATCACCGGTCTCTCTCCTGCCGGCCCCTCGTTTCTCTGTATAACTATGCAGTTCTCTGAGATTTCTGGGATGTCTGAGACTTCACACACCGCCTGCACAGGCTCTGCCCGCCTGACATGCCATTGCAGCCGCCAGGAGTCCTGCAAACTCGTGTCCGCATGCTTTGAGAGCAGGCCGCTCTCAGCTGGTTGTGGGCACTGTCAGAGTCGGGGTCCAGGCTCAGATGAGCAGCCTTCTGCCTCCTGCCTGCCGGGGCTGCCCGCACATCTGCAGAGGCTCTGACACGGCGAGTTACGAATGCTTCCGGAGGCTTCTCACCTGTGCCCTTTTCTTTGCCAATAACCTGATTAACAAAGTTCTCCGGCACCCAGGACTTACTCCTCCTTTTTGTAAGGTCTGTTGTATGTTGGTAAATGTTTGGCTTCGTGTGTTGACAGCAACCTTTCCATCGGGCACACAGCCCCCGTGACCTGTTCTCCCAGGAAGAGGGTGCCCCTAGCTGGCCTCAGGTGTCCCCATGGGGCACTGTTGGCCCCTTAGCATCGTTTGATTTGTGACCTTGACATAATAGATAGGCTTGTGATTTTTTTAATTTAAAGATATTAAAACTTAATTCACTAAAATTTATTCAAAGGGGATATTTATACTTTTGTACTTTTTTAGGTATCGGTATTTTATCAGCTTACAGTTTTAATGCCTAAGTTTCCCCTGAAAATAGCAAATAAAGTTGTGTATTTATGAATGAGCAGAACAACTGTTAGTGTCTTAAACGAAACGCTGCCCCAGGCTACTGCGGCCCCGGGCACGGTCAGAGCTGGGGGAGCTGGGCTGTCTGTCTGCTGTGCAGCCCGGGCCTGGTGGATCAGAGCAGCACACGCCCGTCTCCCATCCCCCATCAAGATCATCCTCGAGTGGCTCTAAAAAGTGCTGACGCCTCCTTGAGTTGAATGTGGCCACCTGTCTTGTCTCTTGTCTCTACCCTGGCCAGAAGCACCAGCTTCAGAGGCATTTCTCTGTGTCCTTAGGTGTCCCTCCCTACACCACGCCCCCCCGTAGCCGCCCAGCTCCCCCTGGTGGCTGCTCTTCACAAGCTGCCTGGGCTGCCCCCACGCTGTAGGGAATTCCCACACTGTTCCCAGATAGCTCTGGCTCCCTGGGGTTGGGAGCATGTCTTTGACCCAGAGGTGCTGGAGTCTCGGCCACCCAAACTCCCAGCCTTGTCGGAGTGTCTGTCCTGTTTCTAGATGAATGGCTGGCCCAGCCAGGGGCCCCAGGTTCCGGGGGTGGGAGGGGGCTGTCCTGCTCGCCTAGGCTAGGGGGTGGGGACTGCCCATCTGGGGCACACAGGGAAGGCCTACAAATTCTGCTCCCAGGAGTTTGCCGTCTGACCAGACTGAGCTTGACATGTCACAGCTCCCTGTTGCCAGCAGTGAGCCTGGACAAGCCTCCAGGCCCCTCTGCCAGGCGGTCCTTGGGAGAAGCCCCAGGGCATTTCGTGTCCCCGTCAAAGCCTTGAGCAAAAGACTGGAAAGGAGACAGCTGCCTAGTCCGGGTCCTGAGGCCCAGGGCCTTATGCTGGGTCAGCTGGGCAGCGAGGAGCCCTGTCCCTTGTGCCGCCGAGGGAGGGGGGGGGGGGCAAGGGGCACAGCTCTTGAGGAAGCCTCAGGGCCGCCCACGTGGGTCGCCAACTGTTGGGCCTCCTGTGGGGCCCGTGCCCAGAACCTTCCAGGGCTCTGTACAGAAGCAGGCCCTGCCCTTGTTACCTCCCCTCACCCCTCCCCTGCCCTGCCTTTACTGGTGTCCACTCAGCATGTGCTTCTGGCGTCTTCCGTCCTCCCCGAAGCTGGTGGCAGTGGCTGACTGGTGCACCACTGCCCATCTGTCACTGAGCGCAAGGGGGCAACAAAGGGCTGAGCCTGCAGTGCAGCCGTCTGTCTGTCCATGGAGACTGTGCCTGCAGGCCTGTGGGTGCTGAGGTCCCGTGTGCCTGAAGCCTGGGTGGCCGGTGTCCCGCAGCAGAAGTGCTGCTGCTCCAGCACCTTCTTGGACACCGATGCACATCCCCAGGTCGGAGTGGGGGTCTCTGGCTTTGGGGCCTTTGATTTCACCCCCTTTTTTTCCCCCTCTATGCCTCCTGCCTGCCCTGCCTTCTAATGCCTGAGGTCTGGGTAGCAGCATCAGGCCGGGGCCACGTTGCCCTTGGGACGCAGAGCCAGTCCTGTGACCTCAGGGCTATTGCTGAGTCCTGGTCTTTGAGGCTAGAAGGGGCTCCCACCGGCTGAACAAATGCGTATGCGCACAGCATGCGTGTGTGCACGCGCACGTGTGTGGATTTTGGGGCTCGGTTGCAGTCCTTAGAAGGGGTGTCTTTGCCCTTCCTCCTCTTGCTTCCCCTACAAGCCGCGGTGGTTGCTGCGAGGTGGGTCTTTCATTGTGGGGCCCTGCCCGGGGCTGGGCCACTCCCTTCCGCCCCCGGTGGGGCGGCGGACAGTCTCCTGGGCCCGGCCGGCCTGTCCTCTGACAGGTCCTTCCTGCAGCCAGCGGGGCCCTGGCACCACTACCTACCTGGCAGATGGCTCTGAGGCGCTGCTTGGCGAGTTGTGGAGAGTTGTGTCTGCGCTGCGCCCCTGCCTGGTGCAGGAGAGGGGACCTGTAACAGCTGGTGGTGTTTCTCTCCTAACTTCCTCCTTGTGCTAAGCTTACTGTGAACTGTGGATGGCGTGAAATGAACCTGCTTTCCCTTTGAAGCCCCTAATCTCTGCGAGGGGGTTCTCCTGTCCTCGCCCACAGGGGCCTCGGTGAGCGTCTGCCCTGGGTCTGGGTGGGGCCGGTGTCCAGGGAGCCCAGGGGGTGGGGACCCTGTGACCTAGAGTCACACGTTGGCCACCACCTCGGACAGGACCGCCCTGGGCAGCCGCATCAGGGGCCCCACCCAGGACCCCAGCCCAGCTCAGAGGAGCTAGGCTGCCCTGGCGTGTGTGCCACTCCTCCTCATCAGCCCCGCCGACCCTGACCAGACCCCTGCCCTGTAGCAGAAGCAGGAAAATGGGGGACCCCAGGGGACCCCAGGGCACCCAGGAAGCTGGGACAGCAGGCAAGAGGAGGCAGAGATGGGGTGGTGAGTCCTCCTACGAGGGGAGCCTGGTCCTCGCCTTGTGCCCCGGGAGTCAGGCTTCATCCTGGCCTCTCACCAGAGGCGGCAGAGGGGCCTCCCTCCAGAGACCACCTAACCTTCTTTAACCTCCCACCGTGGGGCCTGGGACTTTTCATACCCCCAAGAACAGGGTGGTGGGTTGCCCAGGCCTCTCCAAGGCTGCAGGACCCAGGCAGCACCTGTTCCCAGCCAGGATGACCCAGAACGTGTCCCTGCACTGCCCTCAGGATGCCCACAGCCTGGTCCCATCCCCCACCTTGCCTGGGCCTCGGTCATCTGCCCCCCCCCCAAGGGACGCAGAGCCCATCTTGGGTCTGGAGAAGGACGTCCACAGATGGCCGAGTCCCCATAGGGCCACTGAGTGGCCAGCAGGAAGGTGGGGCCGCCGGGAGCCTTTGCCAGGCGCTGCCCCTCCAGTGCTTCCTCCTCGTGGCAGGGGCGCCCCCGGGCAAGGTGGAGCACAGAGGGGAATTCAGTGTTTGTTCCCGCTCTGTCCCGAGGGCTGAGACACAGCAGGAGCCTGCTAAGCACATATTGATTTGTTCCGTAAACATCCAGGCCTGGGCCAGGACGTGCCTGTATGTAGCAAATGGGGATGTGCATGCACTTGCGTGTGTATGCGTGTTTCTGTGTGCATGGGTGTGCACAGATGGGTGTGCACTGGTATGTGTCTGCATGAGTGTACTTGTGTGGTGTGCTAGTGTGTGTGCAATGAGTGTGTGTATGTGTATGTGGGTGTGTGTATGCGGTGTGCAAGGCAGCAGTAGACCTGCCTTCCTAGGAGTCTCACCCAATTCATGGTTGCTGAGTGTGGCAGGCAAGCCCTGGTAACCTTTCGGGAATCAGCCCGCAGAAGGGGCTGATAACCCAAGACTGGGCAGCCACCATCACGGCCATGATGGGCAGGCCTGGGCAGGGCTGGAGCGAGAAGGTTGCGGGGGTGCTGAGCTCCAGAGACCTGTTTGTGCTCGATTCCTGGTGGCAACAGGCCATAACAGAGCAGACTGGGAAGGAGGGGTAGGTCCAGGCGAGGTAGTGTGGATGACAGGATGGGGGAGGAGAGGGTGGGGCTGCAGAGCTGGGCCTAGGCCAGGCCAGCAGGCCTGGGGTAGAGGCAGGCGCTGTGGGCAGAGGCCAAATGCGAGGCTCTCCATGCAGGATTCTAGCTCCTTCCTGAATTCTTGGGGATCCTCGCACAAACCATTGAAGATGCCAGCAAGTATGGCCTGAACCCTGAGCGCTGTGGAAGGAGGAAGGAAGGGGTCCTAGCCACGGAGCCGCCAGAGCCTTGACCTGCCCTGGGGGGGCCTGTCATGCTGACCCCAACAGCCCCAAGTGGCCTGGGCCTTGCCTTCTCTGTGGGACACCTGCCCACGCAGTGTGTGGACTTGATGGGGGCCACGCTGGGCCCTGCATCCTGAGGTTTGGGGCCTCCCGGGGTGTTGGGTCTGCAGGGACCCAGCAGAGCTGCCCCCAGGCGGTTGTGATGGGGGTGCGGGGCCTAAGAGGGAGGCGGGCAGGCACGGGAGCCCAGAGGCAGGCCCCACATCGCTGCCTCTCCCTGCTGTGCCCTCTGGCACCTTCACATCTACCTGATTACACCTGAGAGGCAGGTGGGCGCACCATCCCGGGTTACAGAAGAGAAACGGGCTCAGAGGGGGCAGCAACTTGTCAATGTCTCCCAGGGGACGTGGGTCCCAACTCCAGCCCCTCCCCACCCCCTGCAGCTTTGGACTCACGAGTGGGGAGGTCAAGGCTGAGGGAGGGGGTGGAGGAAAAGGAACCAGGGGTCAAGGGGGACCTGGGGAACAGGGAGCCCCTGGAGGGGCCCCAGGGTGCCAGGAGCAGCCCCTTCCTCCTCCCCATGGGTGCCTCACCCTGTTGATGTTATTTAAGAAGTCTCTGGGTGATGCTGTGATCCCCCACGCCCCGCAAAGCCCTCCTCCAGGGTGCTCCGCCTGGACCCATTCTTTCTGTCGATGTCACAGGGGACAGAGGCCCTGGACTCCAGTGCGGCCAGCCTCCAGGGTGCCTGCGGCAGCTCCCTTCCCACTGGGCAGCGTCACCTTCCACACTCCCCAACCCGGGCATCCGCCCAGCTCACAGCTCCTTGGCAACCCACATGCAGCACCTCTCCACTCCTCCTCCTTCCCCCAAGGGTCCGCAGCCAGCACTGAGGTTGGGTTTTTATTGGAGGATAAACATAAATAAAAATAACCGGGCATTTGAGAGAAGGGAGAATCGGAGAGCTATTTACAAATGTACACCGTGGACCTGGGGCTCCACTCGCCCACTGGTCTGAGGGGGGCTCAGAGGAAGGTGAGCAGGGCTATGAGGACCAGGAGGATGGCGTGGGCCCCTAGGCAGGGTGCAAAGTTCCGACCAAGAGGCTGCTGGAGCTCAGGGCCCCGCCTCTGGCCACCCGACCTAGCCTGCTGGAACTGCAGTTCCGGGATGATCCGATGGATCCAGTTGTGGTGGGAGGTGAGCCGGATGTAGACACCTGGGCGATTCCGGCGGGCGCAGCCCTCGCCCCAGCTGATCACCCCAGCCTGCAGCCACGACTGGCCCATGAGGCACACCAGGGGCCCCCCAGAGTCGCCCTGCAGGAGAAGCAGAGGCACCGTCAGAGCCCACAGGGGCCCAAGAGCCAGCCTCTGCAGGCACACAGGGACATGCACACACTGTCCTCCTCCCTCTGTCCCTCTCCTCAGCTCCCCTCCCTAGGAATGTCCCTACCCAGGACACACACACACACACACCACACTGGCTGGTCCTTCCTTTTCTGGCCTGGGGTGCCCTTTCTCTAGCATCCCAGACCACCTGCCCTGATTCACTTCTGGGGGGGGATGAAAATGCGGTTTCCTGGGCCCCACTGCTGACCTACTCACTGACTCCCCTGGGTGGGGTCCAGGAATCTGTTTTTCCCAGCTGATTGCACAGCTCTGGTCTGGACCATGGCCCCGCCTACTGGGGCCTCATCCCAGCTGGGCTGGCTCCCACCTTGACCCAGGCCTGGGGAGCCTCCACGCAGCCCACCGCAGCCCCTACCTTGCAGGCGTCCTTCTTGCCCTCGGCGAAGCCAGCACACAGCATGTCGTCCTTGATGGTTTTCGGCTGGAAGTCGGACTCGGCGTCTTTGCTGTAGAGCAGGTTGCACTTGGGCGTGTCAATGATGGGCACAGCAAGTTTCTGCAGGATTCGCGGGTTGGGTAGGCGGTCTGGGGAGGGGTGAAATAGCCTGTAGCTCAGCAGGTGGTCTCACCGAGGAACCCATGGCCCTGGGTTCTCAAGAACCACAGCTCTGTCGCTCCTCATTTCTTGCTTGGGTTTAGACCTTCTCTTCTGGCTCGGGGTTTTGTAGGATATAATTCCTTCTTCCCTCCTTCCACACACCAGGCTGGGCTCTTTCTGTCCCCCTCTCTCCACTTCCCCATGGATCCTCCTTCTGAGTCTGCTGCCCCTTTCCCATACCCACTTCACCTATTTGAATAGAGATCATGGGTACCGATATCAACAAAAAAGATTATTGGTTCAGAGTGGCCCCCAAGTGACCTGGGACCTTCTCTAGCCCCCATTCCCTCCTGGCCCTGCCCCATTACCTTGCTCACTGGGGCTGCCCCAGCCGGTGACCCAGCAGTTCATGCCTGGCTTGAAGGTTACTGAGGGGTCAGGTACGCACACGGGGAGGATATAATTGGTGAAGGTCACAGGGGCCTTCAGCTCCACCAGGGCCACATCAGCACTGGAGGCCATGCCCTGGTACAGGGGGTTGCTCTCCACCCGCTTCACCTGGGCGTACACAGCATGCGGCCCCGGCTTCACCAGCTGCCGCGCCCCCAGCAGGACCTGGTACAGGGATGTTTCAGAGGTGCTGGTGGGAAAGAGCAGAGAGCTGGTGTGAGGCAGCCCCTCTAGGGCTTAAAAGGGGGAGTCAGTGGAAGTTAAGTGAAGAAGGGAAATAGGGAGGAGTTGGGGTTGTTCCTCTGCTGCCGGAGACCTCCCTCCTGGCCCTCCACAGGGCCTGACATCTCTCTTTGCACATTATCTTCAAAAAAGTCACCTCCAGGAGGACATACAGCAGGGCGAGGTGGTTAAGTGTAGACGCTGAAGCAGCTTTCATTCCTGACTTTAACTCCCAGCTCTATCCCTGGCCAGCCAGGTGACCTTGGGCAAGTCAACTAGTGAGTTCTCTAACTCAGTTTCCTCTTCTGTAAAGTGGGGACAGTCACAGTCCTGACCTGAAAGGCTTGCTGTGAGGGTTGAAGAAGATGAGCACCCACAGGGGTGTGGCTGGGGACCAGCCAACGGGGGGATTGGACTCAGCCCTGCCCGTGAGCCTTGGGCAAGTGGCCTACTCCCTCTGAGCCCGCATTTCTGAATTTAAGATGTGAGGTTTTAAAAGAATTGCAGAGCTGTGGTGAGGCAAGAGCTGAGATGCTTGGGAAATCCTGCAGGGTTGGGGCCGGGTGGCCCATAGTTCAGTAGCAGGCAGTGGGTGGCCTGGCCCTTTGCTCAGGGATGGCATGGGTGACCTTAGACGGGAGGAGGAAGGGACATTCTGTTCCAGTCCTCAGGCTCATCTGTAACCAGAGTCCCAGCCGGAAAGGGAGTGTCCTGGATTTGGGTGGGAGATGGACGGGGACAGGGAAGAGCGCCAGGGCGTGGGAAGAGCCTACCAGCATTTGCAGTGACAGGGCCCCAGGACTGGCAAAGCGCCTCACTGGTGAGACCAGCAGTGGGGAGTGGACCCCTTGCGGCTGGGCTGCAGGGAGCAAAGGCTGGGAAGCAGCGAGTACAGCCGGACATTAGCCCCGAGGTTGGACCTAAAGGGAGCTCCCGCCCTGACGGCCGGTCCCTGCTGGGCAGGCTTCCTAGGGGGTGGGCGGGCCCGCCAGCCGTCGGCGCTGTCCGCGGTGCTGAAGCCCGGCGCCCAGCTCTGCCTGCGCTCTCCGTGGCCCTGCCGGGGAGGGAGGGAGGGGAGCACGGGGCTCGGTGGACTCACTTGGAGAAGCAGTGCGCCGCGGTGAGGACCCACCGCTCTGTGATGAGGCTACCCCCGCAGAAGTGGCTTCCATTGCGCTGGATGCTGACTTGCCACGGCCACTCGCCCTCCAAGGCGTCCTGCCCGCCCACCATCCGGTTCAGCATCCTCATCCTCGGGTGCCCGCAGACTAGGGGAACACAACAGCCCGTGCTCACTGGGGGCCGGCCCTGATTCCCTGCTTCCAACCGGATACTCCAGCTTCCACTCTCTGCTCAATTCCGGGCCCTCCCTGCCCCTCACCTGCGCAGGGACCTTGGGCAAGTCGGAGGCGGGAGCATCGGGTCAGCCTTTGACACAGGCAAACCCTTCCCAGCTGTGGGACGCCCCCATCCCCCGTGCCCCCATGGGCCTCACGCCCCTCACCTGTGAAATGGTGACGTCAGACCTACCTCTGGGGTCATGGGGAGGGCTGAAATAACACATGTAAGTGTTACCAGGGCCTGACAAACGGGGGGTCCCAGAAGGACAGTGGGTGTTGGGGGGCGACCCACACAGGGTAGGCAACCCCGGGGGAATCTGTTATTGTTACAGTAGAATGGTCTTCAGAGTCTATCCTTAGCTTCTTTCCTGTCACTTTTTCCTGCCCCTTCTCTGTGCTTCGTGCCTCAGTGGTCCTCTTGTGCCATCTGCACGGTGTGTCAGACCCTCCTCCTCCACACCTGTCTGGCCTCCAAGTCCTCTGAGCCACAGCTTTTCCCCACTGGGACCCCTGTGCTCTGCCCATTCATTTTGGGTCTCGTTCTGGGTGTGTGTGTGGGGTCCCTGGCCAGTCTTGCAGCTCTCAGACAAGCCTGCCCCTGCCCCCCCCAACCCAAAGGCCTTGGATGCTTACCGCTTAACGACTCGGTCCCCTGAGTCCCTGGAAGGGAGAAGAAAGGGGTGATCAGGCAACTTGGGCAAAGTGGAACTTTGTCTGCTCCTCCCCTCCCACTGTCCTCCCTACGGTCCTCCCCACTGTCCTCCCTCCTCGCTGCTCCTCTCCTGCACACACAGCCTCCCGAGGACTCAGAGGGACAGTCCACAGAGGGACCTGGCAGGAGAGGCCAGGGGCCTTAGGTTCCCCTCGGCCCAGTTCCCTGTGTTGTCTACAGGCCCAGGCCTGTGGGCCAGAGCTTCTCTGCGAGGGCAGACAAACTGCCCATCAGGAGATGCCAGTGAGGGTCCCCGTCTTGGCGTGACTCTCCTGCCCGGGGCAAGAGGGCTCCTTCTGGTCCCCACAAGAGTCTCTCCCTCCACACCCCACACTGTCCTTGTCTGGAAGCACTGGTGCTGTAGGGTCTGCCTTTCGCCCCTGGAACAAGCTGGAGCTGCCTCTGCGTTTCCAAGGTCTGGGGCCTCCTCACACGGTCTGTTCCAGAGGGAACAAGTCTCCTTCGGTTCTTCCCCAAGTCTCACTTCAAACCTGAGGCTACAGCCCAGCCCCAGAGGTCTCTCTGGTCTCAGGAGAGCAGACAGAAGCCAGCCAGCACTCATCTTGGGTCAGTCTTCCCAAGACTCCCGATTCCCGAGAGCTCAGGCATTCCAGCATGCTCCACAGTTGGAGCTCAAGACCCCAGGCTGGGCCATGATGTCCCCCTGCCCCCAGGTGAGGGGACAGGCAGAGGGGTGGGGGTTGGGCTGTTCTGGGGGCCCAGCTCCCCAGGATCCATTACCCACCACGTCTCAACACAGGCACAGGGCCTGCTACTCAGCCTTTACAGGAACCTTCACTCGAGCCTGAATACACTAGCCAGGGTGACAGTCCCCAGCCCGTGCCAGCAACACTCTGGAAATACCTGCCAGTCCAGAGAGCCCTCCCCACCCCCACTGTATCTGGTTCACTGGTGGTAGATCTGATCAGAATTGGGGTGGGGGGCTCAGGACAACCTCTCCCCACCTCAGCCCTCAGCATTTTCCCTACGCCCTAAGCCCTTTCAGGGCTGAGCCACACATCTCCATGGGGTGCCTGAGGACCCTGGAGATTTTTATGGGATCCCCGTTCCTCCTGCCAGACTCCCAGTCTGAAGGGCAGACTCCCCAATGCTCAGAGTGGGGTTAGACGATGCAGCGGGAGGTGGGGGTGGGGGTGATGGGACAAGAGGAGGAGGTGGACCCTGGGGGCTGAGAAGGACCCTCGGGGCAGGATTGGCCATTCTCCAAAGTCGGGGTGCCAAGCAGAAGTGTGGGGGCAAGGGTGGTGTCAGCCCGGGCCAGCCATGGGAACAGGAAATCTGCCCAGACATTCTGACATTCTGCTTGGCTGTGTTAACAAAGTGCCCTTTTAGAATGCAAATGTCCCCTGGGATTTGTTTAAGATGCAAATTCCCTCCAGCCCCCTCGTCTTAGTATAATATAATTTAATTAGATTGGTGACACCTGACCCCTGCTCTTTCTGAGGCCTGATGATTCCGCTTGCATGAAGACAATGCTCCCACTCACCCCATCTGTCCTCGGTGGCACTAACGTGCTTTCAGGCTCGTTCCCTCTGGGAATTTTCCAGCACCTTATCCTGGTTCTCCCCACAACCATCCCCCCTTCCCATACATGCAGATGGGTCCGTCATTGGCCCCAGGATCAAGTGCGCACACCTGCAGCTGGGCAGAGCCCCTCGAGACTCTGCAGGCTTCCTCACCCCAGCCTAATGCAACACTGCTTCTCATGCAGGCTGAGCCTTCCGGCCTCTGAGTGTGTGCTCACAACTCCCCTCTGCCTCGAGGCCCTTTACTCCTGGTCTCTACAAGCCCAAATCCTACAGGTCTTAATCCAGATCAAGGCCTAACTGATATGCCGCCTCCTCCGGGCAGCCCTCCTTGCTTGCACTGTCCATCTAGGAAGCCTGACTTCCTCTCTTGAGCTCTCCGTCCTCCTGCTGGGTCTCACAGAGCTCTGCCCACCTCACCCTGAAGGTAGAATTGTTGCGCATCTCACCAATGGGCCCTGGAGCTCCATGCAGGCAGAGCCCACATCCAGGGTGCCTGAGCCCAGGGCATGTATAGAGGGACAGAACCAGAGTGGCTGTGGGGGCAGGGCTGACCAGGATGGGTTAATGAGGAGACCTGGGCTCTGCAGGGTGGGCGTCCTGTCGGGGGCTGGGTGTCAGGCCCCTCGTATGGGCCCAGGCCCCCCCATGTAGCATGTTGGGGCTCTGCTGGTGGAAGGGGAGAGGCCTAAGATTCTAGGAGGGAATAGCCTGAAGTAGGGTGAGGAGGGTGCTGAAGGAGCCCAGGCCCCTGGTCATAGCTCCTTGTGAGCCAGATGCAGGCTGCTGTTTTCACTTTGGCAATGGCTTCGATTACTCAACCCATAGGGAGAAATCACAGCGTTACACCCCTTGGCAGAGATGGGCTCCCTCAAAGAGCACTATTATCCTTGTGCCAGGAGGCCAAGAGGAGGAGGCCCCGGGGATCCTGGAGATGCTGGGGCCTCCCCACTGAGGTGCCACCCTGGTGCCCTCCTCCCCCAGTAGGGAGCCTGGAGCACTGGCTGAGTCAAAGCCTGGGGTGACCTGGCCCGGCCCTGGGAGGTGACTCGAGGACAAGGAAGTGAGGTGGCGGCCGAGCTGGCCCAGCTGGCCCAGGAATGTGGGAGGGTTTCCCTGGCAGAGAGCAGCCTGCCCCATGAGGAAGGGCCTAGCAGGTCTGGCCCCCTAGTTGGCACCTGCTGACCCTGACAGGGGATCAGGAGAGTGGACAGGGCTGCAGGGCCCGCTCCTCCCCGATCCCTCCCTCTCTGGTGGGAGCAGGATCCTGCACACCTGGCCCCTCGCTGAGCCTGCCCCAGCTTCCCAGGGCTCCAGGCTCAGGCTGCAGCTCGGCTGCCCCTCCTCGGGCCCAGCTGATGGCTGTTCTGGGGTTTGGAGCCCAGTGGCTCTGAGTTCAGATCCCACACACATGCAGCCCCAAGTCTTCATCTGGGGGTTGGGGAGAGGCCGAGACGAGAGGAAGCAGAAACACTGAGCCCAGAGCTTGGCCCATGGGCCCAGGTCACTGCCTCAGGGGTCCTTTGGGGCCTGCGCCCACACCCCTATCCTGCCTTACCCACCTCACTCCCCCAGGTGGGACATCTGGAACCTTCGCATCTGCCCAGGAGGCCCGACCACTGGGGTGGGGAGGGGAGGCCTGTGCTGCAGCCCCAGGCCTGACCAGGAGTGGGGGCTGGCCACGGCTCAAGGCAGGGCAGAGGGCCCCTCCAGGAAGGTGGGGGACTGACTTCCTGCAGTGTCCACAACTCACCAAACCACAGCGGCAGCAGGAGCAGGGCTGCGGTGGGTGGCCGCCTCATGGTCTCAGCCTGGCTGGGGCACTGGGCAGGGGCCCTGGCGGCGGGAGCTCCAGGAGCACTGGTGCGAGGTGCGGGGCTCCATGAAGTGGGGTTTTATGCTGGAGGTGAGTGTCAGCTCGGCTATGCTGCCCGACCTGTCAGCCGGGCCCGCCCAGCTCCTTTCGGCAGGAAGGAGGGGCCCCAGAACCCCCACTCCTCCATGACCAGGCCCCGAACCTGGTGGAGCCAGACCCTCACTAAAACACCTTAGGGTCTCAGTGCCAGGGTACACCTGCCAGTTTTGGGTGCTTGTGGTCTGGGGTTCTGTCCCCCACCATGACCGACAACAGGCACCCCCCCAACTGACCACAGGCCCCAAGTAAGCTGACTGCAGCCGGCCCATGAGACCCTCCCTGTTTCATTCATTCATTTCATTCATTTGTATTTATTGAGTACCTATATGACCGGGCGCAGTGAACAAAAGACTCCAGGGTGGAGCGTACACTGCTGTGGGGTCCGGGTCACTCGTGCTTATGGGAAAAGGAAAAGCAGGGGGCGGAGTCGGGACGTCGGGGGAATTTCCCCAGCTGACCCCAGCGCCCCTCAAGGGCTCTCCCCCCCGAAAACCGGGCCCTAGCAGCCCGCACCCAAACACGCAGCTCCCAGGACCCGCCCCAGAGTGGCCCCGACCCCCGTCCCCTCTCCAGGGCTGCACCCTCCTCCCCCGGGCCGCGGGCGGGGGGGCTTCCCGGAACCCGCGGGCCGGAGCGGGCGGGGCGGAAGCTGGTTCTAGGAAGGCCGGGCCTGGATGACCATCCCCGGGCGTCCCTGCCCTGGGCGCGACCGGCCGGGCTCCGGGACGTGCCGCCGCGGCGGAAGCAGATCCGGGAGGAAGGTATTTGGAGCACGGGGCTGACGTCAGAGCCGGAGTTGGGGCTCCGGCGGCCACTCCCTGCCGGGGCCGCGGGGTCGCAGTGGGGGCGCCCCGGGCAAGGTCCGGCGCTCCGCGCCAGGCCGGGAGTGGGGGCCGCCGAACGACAGGCAGAGCCCTGCCTCAGTTTCCCCGCCTGCGCAGTGGGTGCCTGCGTGGACTGGGTGTGCTGCGGTGCGCCCCGGGAGGTGGTGGGGACTGGGGTCGCTGGTCCGGGGCTGGGTTTCCGGCCGCACCTCCTTGCCCTGGCATGCGGGCGCTACTGGTCAACGCTGCCCTGCCGTCTAGTGGCCGCCGGCAACAGCGCCGGGGGTGGGCCAGGCAGGGTGCGCCGAGCGGGGGTCTCTCCCGGCCTCACTGTCCGTCTTCCTTCCATCGCCCCTACCTCCAGCACTACACACCACCCCCACGCCGCTCCAGGTTCTCACTTCGCTTCTCCAGCAGCTCTGCAGGGGGGTGTCACCTCAATTTCGGACTGTCACCAGGTGCTGGCCCGCCTTCTCTCGCCCCTTGTTTCCCCCGTCCCTCCTCCGCACTCCCACCCGCCTTGTCCCCCGGAGATTCCGGGTGGGGTGTGCTGGGCGAGCTGGCCTACCTGGGGCGGTGGAGGGTGGTGGGAGGGAGAGCAGAGTGTGGGAAGAAGGATCCCAGACTCATTCATTCATTCTTTCCAAGTATTTTTGAGGACACTTGGTGTTCTAGCTATGCGGAATATGGAGGTGAAGAAAACAGACTTCAGCCTACAGTGTGGAGGAGATGGCCAGACATAATTTAAGGGAAAACATGTCTAATCATACTGTGGAAAGTGTTTCAAAACATCTGGGTGACCACATTTCTCCAGGCTCCTGATGATCCATTTCCCGGATCCCGGAGGCCTTTGAGACTCTTTTGGGCCTGCTACTTCCTCTCAGGGGCCATTCTCACTTTTCTCTGCTGTTTTCTTAAAAAACCAATTCTTCTAATGGGGCGGCTCTGCCTTAAAATCAAGCAAGCAACGAAAGTCAAGATGCTATCAGAAAGTGAGTGGGCCTGGGAAAGTCGGGCTCCCGAGGACCCACAGATGTCAGTCACTCCCGTGACTCGAGACTCGGCAGCCCCAGCTTCACCCTGATGCTCTTGGGCCTGGAGCCTGTGGACCAGAGGCTGAGCGGGAGCTGAGTGGGTCCCTTCCTCACACCATCCACCAAACAGACCAGGAAGATTGGAATCCAGAGGGATTCAAAGACTTTAATATGTTTTATCAATCCCTCCTAAAAAAGAAATAGAAGGCGACATTTATCAACTCTGGAAGGGGAAGTGTTTTCCAGTGTTAGAAGTCAGAGTAGACATCACAAAAGAAAAGAGATGTGACCCATTAGCTAAAAAATACAAGCAAAATTGGTTACAAAATAAAAAGGCAAACAATAGGAAAAAATATTTGAAGGAAATGTGGCAAAGTATCCACACCATTATTGTCTAAAGTGCTCAAGAAATTGATCAGAAAAACACTGAGACCCTAAAGATGAAATGAATGATGAAATGAACAGAAGACACGAACAGACAAGCTGCCAAAGAGGAAACCAATTTGGCTAATAGACTTAACCGAGAAATGTTCAGCCTCAGTAAATAAATAAATGCGAATCAAAGCCACAGCTAGGAGATGCCCTTCGCCTGCATGGAGCTGGCATGTTGCAGGAATGCTATTAGTCAAGGGTGGGGGAAACGGGCCAGCGGGGGCACAGCCCTTTGTCTATTGCTATGGCAGTCTGTGGCTTCACCTTTTTAAAATAATTATTCCCTTTGACTCAATGACTTCGGCCCTGGAAGTCTGTTCTAAGAGGAAAGTCCTAAATATGCAGAAAGGATTAAGGTGTTTTCTCTTTGCAAAAACAAACAAATAAGCCCAAACAAACAAACAAAAACAAAACTAGTTGGGAGATGGAAAATGAAACACCCTCTGAATAGAATTCATAAAAATGACATTTTCATGGAGATTGGGTAAATATGGAAAATGCTCATGATATAAGGGGAAATAAACAAGGACAGGTATAAAGATTTGTAGAAAGGATAATAACTATGAAAAAAATTTTAAATTTCAAAACAACAGCAGCAACATCCAAAAGAAAAGGTGGCAGAGTGTTCGGCAGTGACCAGTGAAGAGCAGTTCTATCACGTTTGGATTTCTTTCAGAAGCAGATGACAGGAAGCAGCTTAGACTCATGGAACACACAGCTGTTCATGGGACCCCTGGTCCTGGTTGGTGGGACCTTCCTGCGATGCTCCAGTTGAAGGAAGAGCTGAGAGACCCAGGGTGGTGCTGGCGGCCTTGCTTCTTACCCCCAGGATGTTCTCCCTTTCCCTGGTGGTGACCGCATTCTCCAGTCTCAAGTGACTCCCTGAACTGGGAACATGGCCGCCAGCTGGAGTCTATTCCTCAAGGATTGCCAGCTAAGAGGACCAGAGCTCCTCCTCTACGTCATTCAGTACGAAGAATCCCAGGGTAGGACCTTAACTGGTCCAGCTTGACTCTTGGCCCTATGATTGGCTCAGGCTGGTCACATGGCCGCCATGTGGTCACAGGACAGTTTGTTAGCAGAAAGGAGAAGAGAAAGAGGCTGGCCCGTAAGAAGTCATAACCACCACTCTCTCAGTCAAGTGTGAGAGTGAAATAAAGACATTTTCAGGCTTGAGAAGTCTCAAAAAACTTACTCCCTATGCACCATTCCTGGGAAGCCACTGGAGGAAAGCAGTTCTCTGGCAAAAGAACGAGTAAACCAAGAAAGGAGCAGAGGTGGGCTGTAGAAAACAGAGATCCAACAAAGGAGAGTAGTAAATGGAATCTCCAGGATGCTGGCAAAGGGGGATTCCAGAATGACAGCTGTGCGCCAAGCATAGAGGGCAATCAGTCCTCATTGGTACACTGTGACACAAAAAACAGGAATGCCGAAGTTGTCATCATCATGCCCTCTGCCATTGCGCTATATTTTCAATCTGATGAAACTACTGAAGGATGTGCTCCACCAAAACAAGATGTAAACCAAGGAAGAGGAAGACGTGGGACCCAGGACATAAGGAATCCAAGCCAAGAGAAAGGCAAATGGAATTCCAAGGGTAATGGCTAAAGGGACATCTCAGAGAGAAGGAAAATGGGGATCTCAAGGAGGGATGCAGCAGAGAAGGAAAAAAAAGGAACTGATATATTTGCTAATTGGATTGACCTTGTGGAGAGAATTGGAAAGTGTAAGTAGGTACAAAAGAAATGAACGATAACAACAAAGGTAATTATTAACTTCAAGAAACAAATTAAGAAAGGAAACAAACATAATACACTACAAGGCTTGGCCAGTACCCCCAAAGTCTCATCCCTTTATGGCATTAGCCAGACTCAGGGTCCAGGATCTAAATCAGATTCAGGTGCAGATAAGGTTTCTTGGGTGTGGTTCCTCTCAGTCTGAAAAATTGTGACCTAAAGAGTTCACCCTGCCCCCTCAGCATACAATGGTGAGGAAGGGACAGAATACCACTGTAGATAACCCCGCACATAGCAATCACTGGTCCATAGCATTTCTGAAATCCAGCTAGGCACATGCTGCTACTTCCTCCTACTCTTGGAGCAGGGAGTGTGTGTCATCTGCCGTCCCTGGGAGTGAGTCTTCACGACTCTTAGCTGCACCCTCTGGGCTTTCGGCTCTGGCATCTGGATCATCCATCCTTTTCCATAAGAAATGTCCATGTCTGCAGCTGAATAGCTTTCTCCGCCAACCTGTTTCTTGTCTTTTGAAAGTTGGGAATCTAAAGAACTGTCCCTTTCAATTCAGGCTTGTACAGTCTGCTGACTTCTCCTCAGAAGTAATGGAGGCCAGAAGACAATGCAACATCTTTAAAGTGCTGAAATGATGATGATGAGGATAATATTGTCAACCTATAATTCCATATCCAATGAAAATATGAATTTGAAATATGAAAATTTCAGAGAAATGAAAACTAAGAGAATTTATTGCTAGTAGGCCTGTACTACAAGAGAAGCTAAAGGCAAATGATCCCAGATGAAATCACAGAGATTCAGGAAAGAATGAGGAGCACTGGAAATGGAAAATATGTAGGTAAATAT